TAGGTTTCGGGTCCAAGTGGGGGTAGTCCTACTTGAGGGTGCCCAACACCTGCCATGAAATCCTACTTCTGGAAACAGTTTTTTTTTCGGCAATTTCAGCAGAGCTGGAGGCTGTTGGTTTTGACTGCCCCAAGCAAGCTGGGTTTCCAAGTCGAGGCAACGCTACTTGAGGCTCACAGGTTGCCCATCGACACTGCCAGGCAGTGACCACAGGGTTGTGGGCCTCTGCTGTCTTAAGCAGGTTGTGTTTCAAGCAGGAGGCAATCCTACTTGGTTTGCCCTAATTGCTTTAGCGACACAGGTTCGGCGTCCAAGTGGGGGTGATCCTACCTGAGGGTGCCCAGCAGTTGCCATGAATATGGCTTGAATTGTTTAAGCGAATTTCAGCTACCAAGTAGGGGTGATCCTACGTCTGGAAGCTGGATTTTTGCAAATTTCAGCAGCGCTGGGGGCTGTTGGTTTTTGACTTCCCCAAGCAAGCTGGGTGCCGGTAGTGAGCACAGAGATGTGGGTCTCTGCTGTCTTAAGCAGGGTGGGTTTCCAGTAGGGGTAGTGCTGCTTGGTGTGGCCTTATTGCTTTAGCGACATATGTTCTGGGTCCAAGTGGGGGTGATCCTGCTCGTTGGTGCCCAACACTTGCCATGAATGTAGCGCCAGTTTTTAGGCGAATTTCGGTTTCCAAGTAGGGGTGATCCTACTTCTGGAAACTTGGATTTTTGCGATTTCAGCAGAGCTGAAGGCTGTTGGTTTTGACTGCCCCAAGCAAGCTGGGTTTCCAAGTAGAGGTAACGCTACTTGAGGATCACAGGTGGCCAGTGGGCATTGCCAGGCAGTGACGACAGGGCTGTGGGTATCTGCTGTCTTAAGCAGGTTGGGTTTCAAGCAGGAGGCAATCCTACTTGGTGTTGCCTTATTGATTTAGTGGCATAGGCTTCGGGTCCAAGTGGGGGTAGTCCTACTTGAGGGTGCCCAACACCTGCCATGAAATCCTACTTCTGGAAACAGTTTTTTTTTTTCGGCAATTTCAGCAGAGCTGGAGGCTGTTGGTTTTGACTGCCCCAAGCAAGCTGGGTTTCCAAGTCGAGGCAACGCTACTTGAGGCTCACAGGTTGCCCATCGACACTGCCAGGCAGTGACCACAGGGTTGTGGGCCTCTGCTGTCTTAAGCAGATTGGGTTTCAAGCAGGAGGCAATCCTACTTGGTTTGCCCTAATTGCTTTAGCGACACAGGTTCGGTCCAAGTGGGGGTGATCCTACCTGAGAGTGCCCAGCAGTTGCCATGAATATGGCTTGAATTGTTTAAGCGAATTTCAGCTACCAAGTAGGGGTGATCCTACTTCTGGAAGCTGGATTTTTGCAAATTTCAGCAGAGCTGGGGGCTGTTGGTTTTTGACTTCCCCAAGCAAGCTGGGTGTCGGTAGTGAGCACAGAGATGTGGGCCTCTGCTGTCGTAAGCAGGTTGGGTTTCAAGCAGGAGGTAATCCTGCTTGGTGGGGCCTTCTTGCTTTAGCGACATTTGTTTTCGGGTCCTAGTGGGGGTAATCCTACTCGCTGGTGCCCAACACTTGCCATGAATGTAGCGCCAGTTTTTAGGCGAATTTCGGTTTCCAAGTAGGGGTGATCCTACTTCTGGAAACTTGGATTTTTGCGATTTCAGCAGAGCTGGAGGCTGTTGGTTTTGACTGCCCCAAGCAAGCTGGGTTTCCAAGTAGAGGTAACGCTACTTGAGGGTCACGGCTTGCCCATCGGCACTGCCAGGCAGTGACCACAGGGCTGTGAGCCTCTGCTGTCTCAAGCTGGTTGGGTGGTGTAGCCCTAATTGCTTTAGCGACATAAGTTCGGCATCCAAGTGGGGGTGATCCTACCTGAGGGTGCCAAGCAGTTGCCATGAATATGAACTTCAGTTTCCAAGTAGGGGTGATCCTATTTCTGGAAACTTGGATTTTGCAATCTCAGCAGCGTTGGCTGCTGTTGGTTTTGACTCCCCCAAGCAAGCTGGGTGTCGGCAGTGCGCTCAGATATATTGGCCTCTGCTGTCTCAAGCCGTTTGGGTTTCAAGCAGGAGGTGATCCTGCTTGGTGTGGCCTTATTGCCTTAGTGACGTAGGTTTGGGGTCCAAGTGAGGTAATCCTACTCGTTGGCACCCGTGTTTGCGTTTTCAGTAGAGCTGGTGGTTTTTACTGTCCCAGCAAGCCAGGTTTCCAAGTAGAGGTAACGCTACTTGAGGTTCACAGGTTGCCCATGGGCATTGCCAGGCAGTGACCACAGGGCTGTGGGCCTCTGCTGCCTTGAGCAGATTGGGCTTCAAGCAGGAGGTAACCCTACTTGATGTGGCCTTACTTGCTTTTGTTACATAGGTTTGGGGCCCACGTGGGGGCGATCCTACGTGGTGGTGCCCAACACTTGCTATGAATCTGGCTCGAATTTTTAAGCAGATTTCAGTTTCCAAGTAGAGGTGATCCTACTTTTGGAAACTTAGATTTTGTAAGTTCAGCAGCGTTGGCTGCTATTGGTTTTGACTTCCCCAAGCAAGCTGGGTGTCGGCAGTGCGCTCAGAGACACGGGCCTCTGCTGTCTCAAGCCGCTTGGGTTTCAAGCAGGAGGTGATCCTGCTTGGTGTGGCCTTATTGCCTTAGTGATGTAGGTTTGGAGTACTTGCTGGCACCCGTGTTGGCGTTTTCAGCAGAGCTGGTTTTGACTGCCCCAGCAAGCCAGGTTCCAAGTAGAGGTAACGCTACTTGAGGTTCACAGGTTGCCCATGGGCATGGCCAGGCAGTGGCCACATGGCTGTGGGCCTCTGCTGTCTTAAGCAGCGGGCCCACATGGGGGCGATCCTGCGTGGTGGTGCCCACCAATTGCCATGAATCTGGCTCGAACTTTTACGCGAATTTCAGCTTCCAAGTACGAGTGCTCTCACTTCGGGAAACTTGAGGAGCAGGGCATCTATGGGCGAATTGGCTATGGTGGCCTTATGGCAGTGAAGGCTTGCCAGGACGAGAGTGCCACCAGCTTGACTTCAGAGATTGAAGAATGCTTCGAGGTGATCGAAGCAGTGATCCGTTTCGAGCCAAAACGTGAATTTCCAGTTTTCCCAATGGAGCGGCTTCGATTTTTGGCTGCATCAGATGCAGCTGTCAAAGCGGAGAATCCAGGATCAGGCGGTTTTCACCTCATCTTTTTACAACCCGACAAACGGGAATTTCCCGTGCTGCGCTTCGAGCATCTGCGCTTCCTCGCGGCATCAGATGCAGCAGTTGAAGCAGACAATCCAGGTTCAGGAGGTTTTCACCTGATCTTTTTCCAGTCAGACGGATCACAAATTCGTCACAGTTTTGTGGCCAACAATTGTGCAGAGCTTCAGACACTATGGCAGCCTGCAGAAACCCACATCGCCCAGCTGGAACTCTCGATGGTGCTCTACGCCTTAGTCGAAAGACCTGACCTGTTTCGAAATCGACACGGCCTCTGGTTTTTGGACAATGTTGCAGCCGTCATGACGCTAGTGAGAGGACGTTCTAGCCATGCCGACTTAGCGAAGCTAGGTCATTTGATCCACTTAGCTCTGTTTGCACTGCGAGCCCAGGGTTACTGGGAGCACGTCCAGAGCAAGAGCAACTGGGCTGATGACATCAGCCGACTTGGCGTCAATGATCCATGGTGGCGATGCCATGGTTTTGAATTTTACTCGTCGTATCTCCCGACCATCTTTTTCCAACTGCCTTTTGTTGCTGTCATTCTCACCTTTGAATTCCTTTAGTGCTTTGGGAAGTTTAGTGCATTGGGTGATACCTGCAGAGCAGGTTCCAGCCTGGAGTTCCAGGTAGCTGACCAGTGGTGAAACTGGTCTGGGGCTATGTACATGTCACACAGTGACAACCCAAAGCAAACCTGAGGATTGCAGGTGACATTGACTTAACATAGGCTTGGCTGTGGAAAAAAAGGAAGCTGCGAGAGCGCGATCAGTATCGAGTTTCAGATGGCACTTTGAGATGTACCCATGCATTGAGTTTGGCAGGCATGGGTGTGCATGTATCATCTTTAAGTGCTCCAATGAATGCTTTCATTTTGGCTCAAGTAAACTTGAACCAAAATAGCATTCATTGCTTTTTCTTTCCCCACCCTCCCAACCCTAAGAGCCGACCTCCCGTGGAGACGTCCGCCTAGGTTAGGGGAGCCTGCAAGGCAGGCGAGTACATAGCCTCTATCGGGGATCCTCCTTGGGGTGACCAAGAGCCTACCCTCCCTTAGGTTAAGGGACGGGTGATACCTGCAGAGCAGGTTCCAGCCTGGAGTTCCAGGTAGCTGACCAGTGGTGAAACTGGTCTGGGGCTATGTACATGTCACACAGTGACAACCCAAAGCAAACCTGAGGATTGCAGGTGACATTGACTTAACATAGGCTTGGCTGTGGAAAAAAAGGAAGCTGCGAGAGCGCGATCAGTATCGAGTTTCAGATGGCACTTTGAGATGTAATTATATATATATATTATATATATATATAATTATATGTATATATTATATATATATATTATATATTATATCAATAGTTCTTATGGTTTGGAAACCAACTTACATATCAAAATGGGGCACCATATATAAGCTCTATAGATAGACGCCACTCACAGAATTCATTCTCATCCCCAAGCTTGGATATGTAGAAACTCATCCTGGATATGTTGTTTGCTTTAAGTGGAAACACATAGCCAGCAAAATATTGACATATATATATATATTATATATAATACATATATATATATTATACATTTTTTTTTGTATATACCAAGTATTTTAGAAAACCAGAACCAGCTTCTTTGATATGTATTGGTTTACATAATATACATAGCAATTGTATATACCATTGATTATACATGTATATTATATCAATTATATACTAATTATATTATTCTTTTTGGTATATACCAAAGATTGACCATGTATCTACCAGGGTGACAAATGCTGGTGACGAGTGCAGCCTTTGTTTAGTTTGCGAACCATCTCAGGCTGCACTAGCCTTCCTCGTGTTGCCCGGCGATATGACTTGGGCGTGATGGGGGGATGGGGGATGAGGAAAAGGCGGCAGACGTGGTGATTTTATGGAATTTTTATGGGAGTCAATGATGAGTTAATGGTGATTGAATGGGATTTATTGAAATATATGACTAAAATATCGTACTATTGGATAATGAATTAGAGATTTTGGAACATTTACTATGGTACAATTGCCATGGAGTTTTTTTTTTAAATATAATATAATATATATATAATGTAATATAATACAATATAATACAATATAATACAATATGAAATAATATCATACAATCTGATAGAATATAGTATGATATAGTATAATATAATATATGCAATATGATATGATGTAATGTAATATAACTTAATATTCTATTATATTCTACTATATTATGGTATTGGGTACAACCATGGTGAGTTCACCTTATGACCATGGCGGGAGACGTTTCTGATGGTTTCTGATGGAACCTGATACCAGGTTCCACGTCCGGGAAAATCCCGTCCGTTCCCCTAAGATGATCATTCACTGAATAGCTCCAAACAGAAACTTGTGAGGCTTTAAGAATCACTATAAAATCCAATTGAATCATGGGCTTTAAGAACTTATAACGAACAATGCCTCACCTTGTATAGTGGTATAATGGGAGATTCAAGCGACTGTGTGGGGATATAGTGGAGATATAGTTACCCTCTGGTTATTTAACATAGCCATGGAAAATGGTCCATGTATAGATGGTTTACCTATTAAAATTGGTGATTTTCCATGGCAAACTGTTAGTCATAACCAGATGGTAGTTGGATGTTTTATTGGGGTTCGCCAACATATCTGGGGGTCACCTTGTAATCAGCACTGAGTCGGTAGTTGGTTTTTCGCGATCGTTTTTGGTAGTTTTGAACACACATATAGCATCCCACGAACTCGGGATGTTTCAACTCGGAACTGACATATAGCATCATATAAATCGTACCTCCCAAAAAGATGTTGAACAGCTCGAAATACTCGTATGAGTTAAATATCATCAAGAACATCCGAGAAACGCTCTTCCTGGTTTTTTCGGTTGCTATAGATGAGAATATTACCCGATCAAAAAGCTGACATCGTATGCCAAGAGTCAAACCATACACCTTTAAAACATGTTTTTTCAACGGGATAAATGGCGCGGTTGGTTCCATATTAGATTAAAGGAGTTGCTATATATATAAATATGTATATCTATATACACTCGTATGTCACATGATATATACGCATATTATATGTATGTATATATATATAAGACTATACAGGCCATACATATTACATTCTGTAATACAGTAGACATATTCTATATATTATATACATATCATGTAAATATATATATATGTATATATTATGTATGCATATTATATATACATGTCTTTATTTGGATGTCGCATGTATATTATACAACGTCAAATAAATCTATATGGCTATATTCAAATGGCTATTTTATAATGTATGTATATACATATGTTATTGACATATCATATGTATACATTTATATAATCTACATAAATCTACATAATTGTATTTATATGTTTTTTCTTCTCTCTCTATAGTGTGAGTAGAGCAATAGTAAACCATCCCGTTTTTATCATAAATGGCTGGTATAAACCATCAACATATGGGTGGTTTATGACATTGCTTTACTGACATTATACACTAATTATATATATAATATATATATATAATGTTATATAATAATAACTAGCTCTATCTGTTGACACTAACATATCTCTATATCTATGTCTAATACCCAATATCTAATATCTAGTATCTAATATCTAATATCTTATATCTAATATCTAATACATCTCTATCTTTATCTATATCTATATCTATATCCCCATCTAAATCTAATATCTATACCTATATCTATTATAACTAAAACTATCTCTATCTTTATCTCTGCACTCAATACATATCTACCGGCCCCAGGTGGAACCTCTTCAGCGTGTCGCAGAATCAGCTCCGCCTCGCACGGCTGCGCTCGGATTTGGGGTACCTTGGGCCCTATTTATATTGGAAAACAATGAGGGGTAAGTATCACTGGAAAGTATTTTATCAGGAACCTAAATTGGAGGTACCTACCATATATAAGGCCTATGTAAGGGATTATCCCAGCAAAATATGGCCTTATATGGTACAGTACCTCCATTTTAGGATCCTGGAATTCCCATTGATAAGTATACCACCAACCAGAATTTTTTTCATTACCACTTTGCAGAAGAATGATTGGGATATGACTTGGGGTAAAAAAACACACTCCGATACATTTTCATATGTTTTCCAATATGTTGCCAATGAATTAATATAGTATATATTGTACCCTTAGGGTAAACATGGTATAATATTGGGATATGATTATGATTCATGATATATATATATATATTTACCTATTGTATTCTATTTTTCTATGGTTCCATAGAAGTTGCCGACGTTGCCGACGTGTCACATAAGCCGCAAAAAATGGTGGTTGAACCCACCCAAGTTGGGGATTCAACCCATAAAAAAATGTCACCGATCATGGAGGAAGCCCATGGTGAAGTCATACCCTCTGGTTATTTAACATAGCCATGGAAAATGGCCCATTTATAGATGGTTTACCTATTAAAAATGGTGATTTTCCATGGCTATGTTAAATAACCAGATGGTAGGTGTTTTTGTTTTTGGAAACAATCAATGGATTGGTTCAAGGTAAAATTGACACCGGTAAAACATGGATTTTGCTACGAAAAATGGTTTTTTCCTCTATTTTTTCCTTATAAGTATGCGCAAGTATAAAATTGTATATATTTTTTCCTTATACGTATACACCTTGATTTTTCCTGTATTTTTTTCCTTGAAAGTGAGGATGTGGTCGAGAGTGAGATGAGTGTTGCTTGCCAGCTTTACCTCCAATCATTGAAACTGACTCTCATCAGTGAAAAAGGGTAATGTCCGATTTCGTTGGACCCCGAACAAAGAAATCGACCTGTTGTTTAACTGCAAAAACACAATCTTCTAGTTCCCAGTTACAGTAGGTTGCAGTAACTCGCATAAAAGATAGAAAAGCAGAAATGACAACTATTTTCCACAGGATTTCACTTTTCTATGCTCTTCCAAAAACACAACTTTCGATCCTTTTCCAACCGTAAAAAAACACCTTTTTCGGCCAAGGTATCATCGAGGCTGGGGCAAGATTGGAAGGGCCTTATTGAGGATGACCACCTTCAGTGATCCAAGGCTACCAGCCGTGGCGACGGCTGGGGGCAGATGTTTTGTTGATATTTTTGCGAAATAATTAGTTGATACATTGAATGGATTAGTTTAAGGGACAATTTACAGGAAACCATGTTTTTTACTATAAAATATGGGGTTTTCCTGTAAAATTTCCCCTAAACCAATCCATTGATACATGTTGCTACACTTGATTTATAGTTGAAGAACTAATAACTCGAAAATAACTAGGCTTTATGATTGATATGAATGATATGAAGGATGGAAATATCGAAGTGCAGTAGTTCCTATGGTATATGATTATATATATAGATATACGAAATATAATTATGTATAAATGTATACATAGTCGTCCTGGAGTAGAATATGACAATTTCAAAACATCCTCATTACAATTGGAAGAGTTTTGAACATCTCAAGAATTCTATCTGCTTCAGGATGAATGAAAATGGGCATGTCTCATTTTATGCTGGATCCAAGTCTTCGACAGAACTCTGAATGAAAATGGGTATGGCACAAAGGGCAGCTCATTTTTACTCTTGAACCATATTTATATCATTTTATATCCATATAGTCAAGATTACTGATATGGAGCCATACTCAAAATTTTGGAAGACCATGATCTTTTGCTTTGTGGATTGGTGCACGGGCTTCGACCGTGGGTTTCTGCTGATTCCAGGGGCACATGGATTGATTTAGCATGTTTTATTCTGGGTTTTGCCGTTTTGGGCGTGTATTTGCCTTGCAGGATTGCGGCTTGTTCTTCATGATCTGGCTGATCTTGTTTCTTTAAGACCGTTTCAAATTTCAGAGAACTTAACTTACCTGGTTGGTGGTTTGGAACAGTCTTTTTTCCCATTCAGTTTGGAATTTCATCATCCCAACTGACGAACTCATATTTTTCAGAGGGGTAGGTATAAAACCACCGACCAGTTACTCTTTTTTTCAACTAAGAATCTGCTATGGACATCACAAATTTCTAATAGGTAGATCACCAAGTTCACCAATTACTATTAGGTAGATCACCAATGAGTAAACGATTATGTTTTTTTCACTAATCACTAATTCTTCACTTGTGTCATGATTCACCAATGCACTTGTGACCTATTTCTATTGGACTATGATCACCAATGGGTCATGTCCCCAAGTAGCCCACAGAGGATCGTCCTATTAAGCCCACCAAAACCCGCTCGGTGGGGATCTGCTCGGTGGTTTCCCATTTTTTTTTACTTGTCATGGGTACTTGTACATATAATTTGAGATTCTAAGTTCATATATGATCAGACACTATATATATATATATACATACACAGTATATATATATATATATGCAATTTGTGATACTCTAGATCGCAGTCTATATATATGATTATGGCATGCCGACCGCCAACTTATGAAGCAGTCATATCTCGTCACCGACCCAAGCAGCCCAAGCAGCCGGGATGGTGACATGTTGTTATTGATATAGATATTTGCATAGTAAGCATTTTTTTAAAAATGATTTGAATGTATTTGAATAATTTCAAGATTGTTGAATATCACATTAGATTTGATGCTGACTATACATATTTTTTGTTTGTTTTGATTGTTTTCAACCAATTTGTGTCGCTTAACAGCCCTTGTTGTTTGTTTCTCCGATTTCTACCATGTGAAACATTTCAATTCCAGATATCTCATGTTTGTGCCTCCATTAGGGTTTGTCTGAAAATACGGTCCCCCATTCCACTTGCTGATTAGCGATCATTTGCCTTAGATAAATTGCCATTGTTGGGGCATCTTGATTTTCAGACACTCCCAGACATCATACTATTGGTGATATCCCATTATATATTTCTTCATAAAACATCACCTGATTATCAACCTGATTATCAACCATTTATTATGGATATCACTGATGTAATCTTCATTTCCCACGTTTTCTTCATAAATTATGATATCAGTGATATCAAGTGATATCCATTATAAAGAACCATACAACCCAATTTATGCATAGTGTTCATTGATATCACCAGTGATTTCTTCATAAATTATGCTACCAGTGATATCAAGTTATATCCCTATTTATCATGGATTTCAACCGTTCCACCGTCCTCTGCAGGTTGGCGCTACAGCTGACGCTGCAGCGTTGGCGGAGCTCTGTGGTGCAGAAGGAGTGGACAGTCATGGAAGTCATGGTGGTACCCCAAAACCAACTTATAACTGGGGGGCCCCATCCTGTACGGAAACCCTCATAAAGTTCTGCCGCTTTTGATGCTTTTTAATCGTTTAGCCATGGGTTACATCACCGCTATGAAGTAAATCCTGGAACATTTCATCATGGCCGTGGCTTCCAGTTCGCAAACTGTACCAAATTACAGTACCAGAGGGTAGTAGTTCTTTCTTGCTGTCGTCATTATATATATATACATTAGTTATACTATGTTGTAATGGATGTTATAATTACCATAAGCCCTCCTCAAATATGAGTGAACTAGAATAAACAAAACCAAGTATGTATCCTCCATTTTCAGTTCATTATTAAACTATGGTTGGTACTAAAATGAACTAAACCACCTATATCCTGAATGAATCAACTATATCCCCAATAAACCAACTGTATCCTCAACGGTTGGTTGGTTAAGTACCTCCATTCTTCATTGCGAACACCACTGCCAGGAGGCCGAACGACTTCGCTTGGAGCGGCTTCAACAGGTGGGACGGATTTTGTTTTTGGAGCGAAATTCTGATTTGGGGTTTCCATAGTCATGGGGGATCCCCAATAGCTGGATGGTTTTTTTCGTGGAAAATCCCCACAAAAATGGATGACATATGATGACTGGGGGTAGCCCCTATGACTCAGGAAACTGCCATTTGGGTATGGGTCAAGTCACTGGATACCATCATTGAAAGATAGACATTCCAATCTGTGGTCGAGGTGTGAAATTTCGACCCATTGCCATTTATCCATTTTTTTTTTAAAGTGTGATGTGATTCAAGGGATTTATCCATGAAAAAACGGTGAAAAAAACGGGTTATGATGATGTTCTTCTGTGATTTATGGAACATTGTGACTTCACATCAAACATGGGATTTAGACATCAAACACAGTGATTATTCAACAAAGACGCGGATGAATTCAATCTTTTAACCAGATTTGATCTGATAGTCAGACTGCTTTGAGGATCAAACATGGTGAGTACCCTCTGGTAAACTAACATAGCTATGGAAAATCACCATTTTTAATGGGAAAATCCACTATTAATGGCCATTTTCAATAGCTACGTTAAATTACCAGAGGGTATCCATCTAAGAATCTAAGATTGAGATTCAAGCATCACTCATTTGGAGACCAACGGAGACCTGCTGATCATTCGCCACACACATGGGGATTCAAATCATCTTAAAACTCATGGGGATTGAATCATCAAAACTATGGGGATAAAAATATAACTTTCAAAATTGAAGATATCAAGCGGTTTTTGAAAATGAAGGTTGGGATGTTCCTCCAAGAGACATGTGGATACAACAGAGAAACAACTGGGATATAATTGCCCCTCCAGTGATTGGGGTCGTATAGGATTGTTTTGTTTTTGTTTTTTTCCAGACATGCTCGAATACACAATCTAACTGAAAGAAAGCGCCCTATTGCAGGGCAAGGCCAATCCGTGTTGGGTCAACTTGCAAGTATATTTTATTGGGATGAATTTTCCATTTGGTTCGATGAGGAATGCCCATTGGTTCAATGCCCTCAATGGGGGTACCCCAAAATGGATGACTTATAAGGGACAATCATATTAAAATTGATGATTTGATGGTGCCCCTATGACTCAGGAAACCTTCATTTACTTCCGGGTGTATGTCATGGAAGTTCCCATGTTTTTCTTATGATCTTCCCATGAAAACCTCCATGGAAGATTTGGAAATAGGGCCCCCCCTTTCGGCTCCACCATGAGTTTCTGACCATGTTTGTAGGCTCTAAAGGTGGGCCCCCCAGTGATGGAACTGTCGATTTTTGCCATGAAAACTAGGGAGAAATCTACCATCAACCGTAGGAACCATAGTTGATACGCAGGAAAAATTCAGCGAACTTGGCTATCTATTCTTCGGGTACCCCACCTTGTACATCGGGCAAAGCTTGGTTTCGTATTGGACAGACATTTCCTGTATTTGGAGACTGGGTCAGTGCCAGGTCTTTAAAGCTTGGTTTGAAGTCTTGGTCATGGCTTCTGGGGCCATTTCAGGGGATCCTGCATGGGCTGGGGAATCCATAGGGATATTTTTTCACGGATCTTTGAAGGGAACTTTTCGGGACTTCCGCGGACGCAAATGGGTGTGTCTGAAAATGTCGTGTACCCCTAAACCCAATGGTTTTGCTGATCATTATCCATATCAAATGGCTATAATTGGGAATATACCCTATTTTCAGACAAACCCAAATCTAAGTAGGATCAGGATTGCTCCTGTAGGTAAATGATAGCCACATGATAATTTACATAATTTTACTGCTAAAGATCTAGCAATTTCCCCCCCAAATGTATCTGGGATGTCGGGAGCAACCCTGAATCAATGGCCCGTGATGTTAAGTGCCTTCTTTTTTGGAATCAATGACTATGTAACAACTTCAACCATTTTGGGAGGGTCTACAGTCTACATTTCTCTATTTTGCAGGGATGAGCTGCACCGGTGTGGTGGAACCATATCAAAGCATTTATTTTTGGAGTTTGTTATTTTTTTTTGACGAATACCCATATTTGCTACTTAGTTAGTGTTGTTTTGTTTCCCCATTGGTTCATGCACCAACTGGGAATAGATTACAGTATCACAACGGGTGCTTGACGTCTCTCTTTGACAATTCTGATAGAGAGGCGTGTCAGAAAATCCAAAGCCCCATTCTGACCAAGCCACTTTTTCAGGGTTCCCGCTGTGTCTTGTGGGTCTTTCCAAAACTGGTGATGATACCCGGTGACTTGAATATTTGCTCCCTTGCCCCCATTTCTCCCTATGATGTGGCTTGCTAACCTGGGTAAAGTTGGTGTTAATGGCAGTATAACCATTGTAATAACTCACATACCTAAAACTACAACTATGCTGAATATATAGCCACGCGGATGAGTGCTTCGTCCGACTCCGGTGGGTTTGTTTCAAAATATCCAAACATCCAGGTGTTTCTTCTCATCATTCTCCCCATTCGAATGACTATGATGGGGTGTAATGTGTGTAAAACAATGCCATAAACCACCCATTTGGGAATGGTAAGTTTATACCACCTATAAAAATGGTGATGACTGGGGGATGGTGCACAATGGCATTGTTTTACCCACATTAACAGTTAATAAGGGTTCATGATGATGGTTACTATATATATAATGATTGATGATAGTGATGTAAACTTCTATAAACCCATAGTATTTTAAATGTACTTTAGCCATATTGCAAAGCGTTCCCAGGTGAAGTACAACAACGCCATGGACCAACTGGAACGGACCAGCGAGAAACTGCAGACGGCTAAGGCGAAGTGCTTGGAGGCCAGCGATCCAAGTTCAAAGGTTTCACCATCCAAAATGAGGGATTTTTCCTTGGATTGAATAGGATTTATTGGGGATATGGGAAAATGATGAATTCCATGATAGAAATTGGGGATATTTTGGCAAAAAATGTAGGATTGAAGCACCTTAAAAATTTGGGAAGTTAAGCAACAAACATGGGGATTTGATCCCTCAATTTTGAGGGGATTTTTTTGGATATATCACCAACCATTTTATGGGGATACAGTATGCTGGGAGGAACAGATATGTTTACCCTCTGGTAATTTAACATAGCTATTGACAATGGCAGTTTATAGTGGATTTTCCCATTAAAAATGGTGATTTTCCATATTTATGTTGGTTTACCAGAGGGTATGTTTATATATATATATAGATAGAATATGATGTGTATGAAGGCATCCCACTTAGTATGTGCGTTCACAAGGGTGAGAAAAAAAACCCGTTGTATATAGCCAGCTACATATGCTCAATTCTGTGCTCCCTAAATGGGATCCAAGTATGAGCATCCCATTTCATATGGTTACTGTATGGGCGTATAAGACCCACTTGACTGTTGTGTTCCAGAAGTGTGGTTCATATGGACATGATCAAAATCTAGAAAGCGCAGGTGTCAATATATATATATACACTGTATATATACTGTATTGCTTTTGACCACCCATGCCAACATATTTCATGGGTTTCTTTTAACATGTGGTACCTTGTAAATGCTTCAAAACCTCATTTTCTCATGTAATTTGCCAGATATTGGGCCATACCCTATGTTCAGACACGCCCCGACATCAGCATTACCAAGCTACCTGCGAATGCGCGGCAACAGCGTAACTTTGACGAACTAAGAACGACCTGATCATAGATGATGCTTAGTAAGGGAAACTATCCCAGACATCGGCTTTTTGCAGATTCAGGAAGTGCAGTAGTTCTTTGTGTCAGAGATTATGATTTGGATATCTTAGAGGATTTATGATTATTTGGATATCTTAGACATTTAGACATTTGGATGTCTTAGACACAAATCATTTGGATATCTTGGAGGATTTATCCGGACATTGAATGCTTACTGCCTGAGGGGTACATTTCGTGCAGCACTGGTTAGATTCTGGGGGATCATGGCTGCCCCATGATCCGGTGCCAGGAAAGCATCCGTTTGGTGGCCATGAATCAAGCTAAGTTGGTGTATCTAGGTGAACAAGTTTTTTTATTTATATTTTTATTTTTTTGAAGGGAATACGGAATATACCATATATATATATGGGTGTGTCTGAAAATAGTGTACGCCTAAACCCAATGGTTTTGCTGATCATTATCCCGTTTTTAAATGGCTATTTCATTGGGAATATACCCTATTTTCAGACAAACCCATATATATATATATGGGTATGGGTCAAAATTAGGTACCCCAATAATTGGATGGTTAATACTAAGCTAGACATTCACATCTGTGGTCCCCTTAACGGTCTTCCATACAGTTGGAATCAGTTGAACATCTTGCGCATCCAATTGGTGCACCAGAAATTCTGGAGACGACGATTTTTCACAGGCCGAGACTCGGACAGAGAAGATGAAGGCGCCGAAGAATTCGTAGGCTTAGCCTCGTGGAATCAATAAAATGATTAAAATGGCTTGGAAATCCACGAACTCATGGAGGTGACTCATTCGCTGGGAAAATCGCTGATTTTCCATACATTTGATTACCGGTATGGCTGGGAAAATATGGATTGATATGGATTAAGCTGGGGAATATGGAATAATCTGAACAATTTTATCTGCCCAGATCAAGGTTTTACCCCAAGAGGGTTCATGGCAGGGTATGGCACTGCATCCAAGGTCGATATTGATTCTGTTTGTTTTCATTGAAGCACCAAGCATCTCCCACAAAAAAGGCAGGAAAAGAAACCACCATCCCAGAATTGATTGAACATTTAGAGGACATCCCAGTACTTGGGTTTCAGAACCATTGTTTTCGGTGTAAATTTTCCCTTCAACTCGTCCATTGAACTCTTCATCACCACTTGAGGATCCTTTTTGGTGGTACATCCAAGGAAGCGTAAGTGGGTAATAACCTTATGAAAGAACCTAGTTATATATACATCAATATATACAACTATATACATATGTATGTACAATTATGCACATATATATATATATGGAATATCCCGACTTACATACGGGTTATATGTATGAATATGTACATGTACATGGCTATATATTTGTATATACATGTATATCTACATATGTATATATATATCTACATATATTTATAGATAGAATACACATATATATATATATCTACATATATTTATAGATAGAATACATATATATATATCTACATATAGTTATATATAATATACATATATATATATATACATATGTATATATATATATGCAACATGTGTGTGAGTAAGTATATATAATTTCTGGCTTACTCAAAGCACTTAGGATCCACTGGGTCTCAGGGACGCCTCCAAGAGCTCATCTGGATGGATTGGGATCTCTGGTGCAGCTGGGAATCTTGCCGATGCGCTGGGGGATGTGTGTTGCTGGGTGATTTCAATGGGATTTTATAGTGATTCAATGGGATATTAATGGGATATATACCCTGGTAAACTAACATAGCTATTGAAGATGACCATAGAAATCGAGGATTTACCCATTAAAAATGGGGATTTGCCATAGTTTTTTGTATGTTTTTCATAGGGTTAAAGTTTAGGTTGTTGATGTTCAGACCTTTTTGTGGGCTTTACGTAGTTTTTGTTGATGTTGACTTACTTGGGTTTACTTCACCATAAAGCCGAGAAAAATCAATGACCAACGTGCCCAACGTGCCGTGCCTCGTTGGGACTTGCTTTTTTGGCCACCTATTTTGGCACCCCGGATCTGCGAACAGTTCAATCAGCTGAGATTATTCAGCAGAAACCAGCACGTCAAACATGACATTTTTCACTGCAAAATGGTGGATTTGATCAGCACCAGATTTACTGGCTTCATTGGGGGATAACATCCTCGTTTTCACCACTAACCAATAGGAAAAGGACCTAAATCTACGGCTGCAATCTGCAGAGTGTGGCTGTTTGTTGGAAATCCAATGAAACAATATGAAACATAGATTCGAATTTTCCATGATGTTGTTTTTGTTACTGATATTTGTCTCAACTTTTCTATCTATTCGGGGGTTGAATTGTGCTTGGTAGAATCCATCGACTTGTGATGGGGATAACGTGAACATATCCTACGTATATTATCATGATAGTACTGTAGATGTCCCAATTTTCCACTGCTGTCTACTGTCTGTATCTGTTTTCGCAACGAAAAACCAAAGGATACCAAATATGGCCATGGGTAAACATCCAAAAAGAGATGGGAAAACCCCCATGGTTTCCTGTCGGGGAAAATGATCTACACATATCCCAGTGGCCCCGACGAAGCTTAGTTACCCTCTGCTATGCGAAGAAATTGCGGGGGGAAAGCAACAACCATTTTGTTTCATAGTTCAAAGATGTTTTAACCATCTATGTTCATGCGCCATGAATTTCTACATATGTTTCATAGCAAACTGAAGGACCATTACCGGGTAAGGGAGGATAACTCGTAAATGGACAAAATTCGATCGAATCCATCACCGTGATGGCACTGAAGGAGTCCCAGTGGAAGTCAAGGTCACTTACCCTCTGGTAAACTAACAGTTTGCTATTGAAAATGGCCATTTATAGTGGATTTACCCATTAAAAATGGTGATTTTCCATAGCTATGTTAGTTTACCAGAGGGTATTTTTTGGAAAATACTTGGTGGTTCATCCGTGAGGTAAATGAGTAATTTACTTCTAATTACTTCACCCCAGGTGTAAGTGGTGTATGTGGAAAATACCCTACTTCTCCCACTAAGAAAAAAACATAGATATAACCTATCCCACGAATCGTAAGTGGGTTAACATCCCAGTGATTTACATGGGATAAGTAGGGTTAATCCACATCAATCACTGGGGTGAACTAACCCACTTACGATTCGTGGGTAGTTCGCCACCAAGTAGGAATTGTAAGTGGAATGATCCCAAAATAGCTATAGCAGCTATAGCCTCCTGTGATCCTTGGGAGAATCCCCGGCATCGAGGTGCTCTTCGCATGGCAATGGGCCGTAAGGCTCTGCCGTTCCACCAAGGACTTTGCGCTGCAGGCGGGGTTTGTCTCCCCGACTCCAATGGATGATCATCATTTTTCCGAATCGAAAGGGGCTATTTGGTATACGCCATGAAAATCCAAATACCTGGTGATTCATCCCGGCAAAATGTGGCTGGAAACATCCTCTAGAAAAATCTAGGAAAGAGAATTTCGAGCTGAATCGTCCAGCAAGCCACCTTTGATTTCCGGATGTTTTTTTTTTCCCCTATTTTGTGTCGGGTTCCTAGAACTGGGCTAGCTATCAATGGGATGCCTGGGGGCTTGTTGAATCTTGAGGCTTATCAACTCTGAGGGATCCTGAAAGCACTCGAATGTATATAGTGGGAACTGGGAGGTAGTAGATCCTCCGAACTTAATCTGTGTCATCAAACATGGCTTGCTGGAAAATCCTCCATTTATAGTTGATTCTCCAAATCAAAAACTTCATTTATAGGGGGATTTTCAATTGCCATGTTTGATTACTGCAGGGTATCTTGGAGAATTTCTGTGGCTTGTTGGACAATGTGTGGACCTCCTGGTTGGTACAGCTTCATGGGGCAAGCGAGTCTCAGAACCATCACAGATTCATGGTATATATCGCCATCAGAACTGGTGGTTTTGCCATCAAAAACTCTGGATTATTGCTGCCTGATCTCTGGAGTCTAAATTTTTTGTGCGACCCTTGGTTCCTCCCACCGATCTAGGGTTGAAGCCCGGGGAAACCATGTTGAAGCCCCATCATGGAGAGCCAACCCCCAAGGTTGGTGAAGGTTGGCCTACTGGAATTGTTTTTTTTTTTTTTTTTCCGAGGACAGCCGAGTTTTCCGCCTTCCATGGAGGATCATCCCACTTCGTAAGTGGTGAATAACCATAGGTATGATCCATTTGTAGATGCTTAGGGGACCCTTGCTAAGCGTGATGATCCTCCAAGTGAGCTCTGGGTCATGATCTGGTTAGCTGGCCAGAACTGGGCAAATAGACACCGTTTCCCAAGAAAAGATTGACCCATTTGAGCTGACCATAGATGTTCCCAGAAGGGCTATGCTAAGCTCCCTCATCTTGGGTTTATCTCCAGTTTGGAAACCATTGTAATCCATTACCCCCATATTAAACCCGTCAGACACCCTCGTCTAGTGGTGGATTTTTTGTATTTTCTATAATATTTATGTTTTGGGCCCATTGAGGGATATTCTTTCCTCTACTTGATATGATCGGGGGAAGGAATAATTCTGCCCATGATTCATTGGCCTAGTGATTCCATGAATTATTCTAATTATTCGAAGGAAGTTTAGAAGTCAAACTTCCGACAATATGGACAGATGGAAAAGCAGAGGTGGGAAGAGGCAGAGAGAAGAGAAAGATTAGAAGAAAGAAGAGTAGAAGAGAAAGAGTCAGAAGAAAGAAGATGCAGGTGCGCGAAAAGACAGGAAAGTCGCGAAACACTGTGTTTTTCCAATGATTTGTGGCTCCGGAGGGTCGAAAAGTAGGCTCGCTAAAGCGGCGGGTGCGGAGCCATGTGGCCAGATGAGAAATGAAAAAATGCACGCCGTTGTGGCGCGAAGCACATTTCGAAGTCAAAATGTAGAAAGCACCTCATGTTCGGAGCTTTTTTGAAAGTTGAGATGTCGAAAAAGTGCACGCCATTGTGGCGCGAGGCACATTTCGAAGTCAGAATGCGCAAGACACCTCATGTTGGGACCGCTTTTGGACGTTCAGATGTCGTTTCGCATGGCAGGCGCAAGGGATTGCCCACCTTGCCAAAAGTGAGCAAACGTGAGGGTTTTGCAGCAATTTCAACTACAACCACCATTACACGACACTACACTCCACTACACTACAGTCACTACAACTACAACTACGGCTAAAACTACAACTTCAACTAAACTACATTAGACTACACTATACCACACTAATTACATTACACCACACTACGCTGAACTACGCTACACTAATTACATTACACTACACTACACTAGACTAGACTACACTACACTACACTAAATGCATTACACTACACTACGCTACACTCCACTACGCTACACTACACTCAATTACACTACATTACACTACCCTACACTACACTACCCTACACTACACGACACCACACCACACCACACTACACTACATTACACTACACTACACTAATTACATTACACTACACTAGACTACACTGCACTCCACTACACTCCACTACACTGCACTCAATCACACTCAAGTACCCCCAATTACACTCAACTACACTACGCTAAGCTACACTACACCTACAACTACTGCAACTACAACTGCAACTGCAACTAGAACTACATAACACTACACTACACTAATTACATTTCACACTAATTACATTGCACCACAACTACAACTCCACTACACTACAACTACAACTACAGCTGCACTACACCACACTACATCCAGCAGTTGTGGGTCAGGTGACCGACCAGGTGACCACTGCAACCATTGCAACCACCCCAAAAACACAACCCCAACCACATTTCGGTTCATCAGTGGATTCGCTCTGCCATCCGTGATTCACAACAACCAACCTCTCCTGTAGTTTTCCTATATTTGAAACTTCCGCCACCGCCTTGTGCGGTACTACTGGTATTCAAGTAATGTTATTGAAGCAGTGGTAAACCAGCCATAGTTTGATGTTGTACACCGCCTGGTTGTGGTAAAATTGGGGATGGCTTACTATTTCTTTAACCACATGAGTTTGGAAGAACTTCACTTTTTGAATACTTTAGAAAAAATCTGACCCGTGATTCAGCATGAAATTCTGTGGATTTCTGGCGGAGTCCAAAACTGGGAGGCCTCAAATCGACTGATTGTGGTTGGAAGCCCTCTAAATATGGTTGGTTTACCATTGCCTCTCGACCTCATTCGACTAATCCCGGTCCACTCAACAGCGAACCTTTTCCCACATCAAATCTTGCTGAACTCAAAAAAAAACCTGCAGGATTGTTATTGCTCGTGCCACGGTCTCCTCAACGGCTTTACCAGTGAATTCCCGATGCCAACTCAAGTGATACTTCACTTCTCCCTCTCTCAGCGCAAAACATCTAGGTTCTTACATCACTTTCACTTCATCTTCATTTCCTGATGTCAATTTCCACTTTTCCCAGGCTTCATCTGCCTCTAAGTCCCTTGACCCACTCTTTCGCCATCCTCCTATTTCTCAACGATTCAAATTTCGAGTCTAAACTCAGATTGTCCAAGCAATCCTTCTACATGGCTCTGAATCTCTGATTTACTCTCCAGCACAAATCGCTAAAACCGATAGTCTCCACTATAAGGCGCTCAGGCAAATTTTTCAAATTAAAAGTCCTTATGACCATCGTGTCCTTAGTCCCACCGACTCTCCTTGCTCCAATGAATACCTCCTCTCTTTCTCTCTCTCTCTCTCTCTTACCCTATTCTCCCATCATGTATTCCGAATTCCCTCCTCAATGCGGATTTCTGACTCCCGAATCAAATACCTTGGTCATATTCTTCGTCACCCAGAAAGTCCAAAATCATTTTAATCCCTCCTTTTCCCTACGAACAATCTCCTCTCCCTTTGGCCGCGCCCCTCGGGCTCACTGGGGGTCATTTCTTACATCCTTCCTACCAGCATTTCACAATTGCAGAGCTCAAACAATTCTCCTCCAGTATGAAACAGTGGTATGATACTACTACAGATATACATCTTCTTCCAGAAAACAGAGAACAATGGTTTCTCCTTACCCCAAAGGTGAAATAAGCAACTGCTTAGGGATTGCTGCGGACGCGTGGTTCAATCGAACTGCATATCGCTTGTGAAAACCTGGGACCATTTTGGGGGTGTTTAATATCAGGGGGATGGGATTCGTCATCATATTCTAGCCAGACTAAGCCTGCTTAGCCTATTGAACTAATTGGGGTGAAATCATCCACTTATTCCAAATCCATTGATTAGTGTGTATAGTTTCGGAATATAGTCTAGTGATCAGTATATCCCTATATTGTTGGTGAACTATATTCCCATTAAATCACCAACTTCTACCGTTATCGTCTTCATTTTTTATTGGCTAACCTCGATGACTCGAGTTCGAGGCGCGTCTGCGGCGTGCCGAGCAGACCTTGAAACTCAGCGATTCTTTCGGCCAGGCGCCTTGAGGGATGAACAATGAGGAGTTTCGCCCAAGAAAAAACCGGGATGTCGAGATCCGAATGAGAGCGTGGCTTACCGAATGTTTTACCGAAAAAAAGGAGAGATCTGGATGATCTGATTTCGGTTTCACATGGTTTCAAGATCCCGGAGTGTAGAGAAAAACCATCCCCAGCCCGGCGGAAGGGGATTCACAAGAAGTTGGCCGAAACAGTCGTTTCAACCAGGAATTTCACCATAAATCATCTACAAACAAATCATTCCTCCATAGTAACGTGGGTAATTCCCAATGCCATGTTTACCATTCCCCAGGAAAATCACCATGAATTTATAGGTGGTATAAACTTACAATTCCCAGTCATGGGTGGTTTATGGCATGTTTCACCCACATTAAGCCATTCAATTACCAGAGTGTATATTTCTTATGTTCCCCCCAAAGTGGACGGTGATCCCAAACGTCAACCGCGCTAGGAGAACGCAGGAAACATTTTTGGAACATTTTAGGGCAGAGCACACAGGCCACCCGTAAGACACGGTGAGGCCCCCTCAGCTATGATTTATAAACATTTATAAAACCCATGAACTATAGTTGCATCCACCATAAACCCAAACCTTAACCACCACATTAGTCAACTGAATTCACCTTGTAATGATTCAAACCGCATGGCTATGTGCAGCTGTCTTGACGGCTTAGATATTTAGCCACAGGATGTGCCCGGGATTTGTTCACATTTTAACCAGCTTACAAATGGGGGGACCAATTTCACCAGGAATTTTCTCACGATTTTGGGGTTACGGTAAGCCTCTAATCAATAGAGTTTATCAATTCAGGGTTGATTTTATGGATTAACCCAAGTTCTGGATTAACCCTACTTATCCCACTTATGACTTCTAACCAAGTTGGGAAGTTTTTTTGGGAGGTGGAACCCTTCAGGTTTTTTTCAGCGACGAAGCATGCTCTACATAGATACATCCTGGGTTATTATTGCAAGCTTTGGATTCAAGTAGGTTACCGGTTGATGGTTTGGAACATGAATTTTATGACTTTCCATATATATATAGGGCAGAAGCTGGGGGTTCCCCGGAAGCCAATTGCAATTTAATTGTATGGATATGGAAAATGTTGATTTTATACTGTGTTTTACAGTGTTTGTTGCCTTCCCTTGAAAGTGTTCCATCAGTGAAAGTATCAATGTCGGCGCGGATAAACTCGGAGTTTGTCCGCTCAGAAAAATGATAAATTTACATCTTCCATGGATGGCCAAAAATGCGTTCAACATTTTTCCCATTGAAATTGCGGTCTCATACATTTTTTCAGTTTTTGTTGATAAGTGCAAAATGTCACAATCCACTGGAGAACCATGGACGAAATGAACATCACATATTTTTCATCTTCGCTTTCCCAAACCTTTTTTTTTGGCATGGCGATGGGAAATGTTGTTTTTACACTGTGTTTTACAGTGTTTTATGTTTTTCTCTGAAATGGTTTGATCAATCGAACTTCCATTTTCATCGCGGAAGAACTTGACGTTTGTCCGTGCTGAAACAGGAAAATTTTACATCTCCCATGGATGACTAAAGATGTGTGGAACATGCTAACCATTTGAAGTGCGGTTTCTTTTATTTTGGTCGTTCTGTTCAGAAGTAGAACATGTGATAATGCACTGGAGAACCATGGACGAAATGAAGAACGCACCTTTTTCATCTTCATGTCCACAAAGGCTGTTTGAAGCAGTTGGCAGGAGCGAGAGCACCATTGGTTTTCTCACGGTGCAGTCGCAGGGCGTTGAGGACAGAGTCAAGACCAGGATTTTTATGAATATAATAGGCGGCTAAAAGATTTCTATGTTCCAAGCGGTCTTTGGCTCCTCCTAACTGACTTAATCTTCTCAGCTGTTTTTTACCTACCTGGACCAGGCTTTCGGCCACGTTGTCTCCTCCTGTCAGGAGGAAAGAATTCTGTTTCTCTCTAACAACAGGATTCTTTTTCTTCTGTGCCAAGCGTTGCAACAATTTCAAGGTGTCTTCATCTAAGTTTCGTTTGGAAATGGTACTCAAGGGTGTGAAAAGATACTTCCAGTGAGCAACACCTTGAGCTGATGCAACCCCAAGTGCTGAAGTAGCTTTTGTAAGCTGGGTGAACCATCTGCAGCAGCAACGTGGCGCTTGGGATCCAACTTCTTCGCCGCATGATGCACAGTTTCTTCGAAGCTTTCAGGACCCGGAGCTTTGTATTTGCTTGCCACCTTTGGAGGCAAAGGGACAAGAGCGAAACTTCGACGGCTAATCGCTCTAGTTCCACTGCGGAGAGTGAAGACAAGAAATCGACCTCTGTGCACGGTTGGACGCCGGTCTTTTGAGGTACCGCAACATCTGTAAACAACAACGAAACTTGCAACGTAGCAACATCTTCCAACCAAGCAACATCTTCCAGGATTCAACATCATCCAACGCACTTGACATGACGTTATTACACCCCCCCACCCCCCGTTCTGTAAACAACAACGAAACTTGCAACGTAGCAACATCTTCCAACCAAGCAACATCTTCCAGGATTCAACATCATCCAACGCACTTGACATGACGTTATTACACCCCCCCCACCCCCCCCCATCTGTATACAAGAACGACCTTTCTGGTATAGCATCAAGACTGAGGGTTCCTCGAAGTTCCGGGGAACCCCCAGCCTTGAGCCTATATATATATATATGTATGGGAATAATAATACCAACTGACTAATATTCTTCAGAGGGGTTGAAACCACCGACCAGGTTAGCGTTTTTTTTGGAACATGCCAATAACCAATAAAAAACCCTTTCCCCCTAATATTAAACACCCCCCAGAAACCATGGGCTCGAAATGAAATCAGACATTTGGGGAGTGTGTATAATATTAGTGGGATGGGATCATATATCATTATATAATATCATTACATCTCATTATAGTCCATGAGGCATCCATGAAATCATCAAAAATTACCAGACTAGATCGAAATTATCATGGATTATTGGTGGATTTAAACTATCAGATAGATTTACCATATATTTACATATATTTACCATACCAATGATATTAGGGGGTGCGTAATATCATTGGTTGTGACGCTTTGATGCATCAGGGCTCGGCAGACCTGAAGCCCACTTTCCAGGCATGGAGTAGCCTTGCCACTTGGCGGCTGTAGGATACTGTAGGTTGAAAACGAAATATGCTTGGTGGCTCATCCCACGAATCGTAAGTGGGTTATAACCCCAGTGATTGACATGGGATAAGTAGGGCTAATCCACTTATAACTGGGGTTATAACCCACTTACGATTCGTGGGATGAGCCACCAAGTGGGGATTTACCCGGTATGGTCATTGGTCACATGGCCTTTTTTAAAACTCATGAAGATTCTGCACTTGAAAAAATGTCTCAATTACCCACTAATATGGCTCCATGAACAGTTCGGGGATTTCCCAGCAATGTTTGATTACCGGAGGGTACTGTAACCGTTTAATGAGGATATAACTCGCCATCAAGTCTCGCCATCTCCGAAACAACGTGACTGGTGAACTGGTGAGTTGGCCTGGGTTTCATGGGAGCATGAGCTAAGCCATGGCGGCTAGCTGGTGTACCCTCGTATCAATGGCCATTTCAGGAACGTAAATTGGAGGTACCTACCTTATATGGTACAGTACCTCCATTCTAGGATCCTGAAATTCCCATTGATCATAACATATTCCAATTTGTGTTTGTGCCAACTTCGGAGGCCCAGACTTTTTTCCATTTTTTTTTTGGGAGAAACATCGCCCGAGCCCTTTCTACCAGCGTTCCAACAGTGGTTTGGGGCCCTGCCAATTCAGCTGGTAGAAATGGATGGAACATGATTTACATGTTTTTCTATTCCAGGGAAGCCAGTGATTAGTGGGCTGTAAAACCTGATGATTAGATCCCCGGAATCAGGCAAGGTCTGCTTCACAATCCCGAAGTTATCTGGTTGGTGGTTTCAAACATGGCTTTTATTTTCCATAATATATGGGATAATCCTTCCCATTGACGAACTCCATCATTTTTCAAGATGGTTAAAACCACCAACCAGTAATATTATATAGAAATATCATTTGCAACTATTAGAAAAACATTTTTTTTAGCAATTCTTAAACATTATCAACCAACGAGTGATGGTTTTCCCATAGAGATGCCCATTTTTTTGGATGGTTTTGCCTGGCCAAATTCCACCATGGCCTGGCAAAACCTGTGGAACATAGGATCCCGTGTGATTTTTTTTTTTTTCGACACCCTTGGGATTTCTTAAGATTTGAGGGTCCCGAATAAATCATCCAAACTTGATCACATCAAGAACGACTATGGCCCTTCACAGGGCAATAAATAATATTATATCTCAACTCAGGTTATATATCATAAGCCACTTATAACTGGCCGGTTGGGCTATAACTGAAGTGGTTCCAATGGTGGCTACCCCAATTTCAAGAAGCCTCCGGGACGCCCTGCCAGGGACGCCCGGCCGCCTAGGTGAAACGCGACAGGAAGAGAAAGATCATGGCGGCCCGATGGATACCGGGCGCAAAAGATTGGTGGATGGCCATGGAGATCCACACATATGTATATATATATATGTGTGTACATGTATGTATATGTATATATATAGATGTATATGTAGATGTATATGTATATGTATATGTATATGTATGTATATGTATATAAATATTTATATGTATATGTATGTATATGTATATGTATGTATATATATTATATATATATATATGTATATGTATGTATATGTATATATATATATATATTTATTCATGTATGTGTATATATATATATATACAGGTGGGTGTATTTATACATATACGTACATATATATATAGATAGATATACATAATATCTATATATATATGTATATATATGTAAATATATGTAAATATATATATGTATATATATATATATTTCTGCATATATACACACATACATATATATATATATGTATGTGTGTATATATATATATAAATATGTATATATTTATATATTTAAATGTTTCTGCATATATATAGATACATATATATATATATCTATATGTATGTGTGTGTGTATATATATATTTAAATTTATGTGTATATATATATGTATCTTTCACTTTTCTGTAAAGGGTCTAGTTGGTTTCAGGCTTCATGGCTTCGATTTGCAAATTTGTTAGTGTAATTTTTGTGCATATTTTAGCTAGGTGACCGTGCTGGTCATTCAGAGCTTTGAGCATTTCACCCATGTGGCAGCACTGCAGAGAGATGAGCTCAGTTTCAGGATTTGGACCGCACACCCAGCAGCTTGGGCTTGGTGGAGCCTGCAGACATCCTTTGCAAAGCGTGTTCCTGAGAACCAATTGCCGCAGAAAGACATCTGCGTTTCTTTAACAAGCCGTCTGAGTTGCTGTGACAGGCCCAGGCGCTGGCCGCAGGCCTGTCACCTCGTCCAAGGGCTAGTTGTCGCTTTGGAACCAGCGACGCGCCCGTGCATCGTCGCAGGAGCAGATTCGGACCCACATTTTCATTTTTTACTAATATAACGCGCACAATCAATTACGCCTGTTATAATAATATGCAGGATTGCTTTGCATAAAAGAGGATGCAGAGAACTTCAAACGCCTTCTCCAGAGGCGTCACATTCGAATCCGAAGCCTGCATTGGTGAGCGTAAAGGATCGAGATGCATGCAGTATGATTATAACTTGGGGCAGTGGTCTCGTTAGTTGGATCATTCGTCACTCTCCTCGAATGACTGGAAGTTCATATGCCCATTTTCTCAAAAATGTACATTATTCTATTACATTTTACTGCTCAGTGGTTTTTCGCGCTCCAGAATAGAGACACGTCTAATTTATCACTCACTAGTTTAGCCTTCTGTCCAGCAAATAGAACCATATTTTTGTTTGTCTGAAATTTTTGGTTAGCCTCAATTCCAATTGATTCATCCCCATCAAAAAATTGCCTTTTTGGGGGGATACGATCAGTCACTGGTGCATCTTATACGAGTCAGTGGTATATCCCCACTATATCCCCATCATATTCTCATGATATCCCAGTTTCTATGGTCAATAGTCTTTAAACCAACAAAACAACTCTATATGTTGCCATCATCTTCCGATTGGTTTTCCCATTAAACCATGCCTTTTTACGAAAAAAATCAAAAGAGGAAACCACCGGAAGTAGCCGCGCTGAGGATGTATGGTGTGGGCACCGATACCTTAGAAGAGGCTCCGGTTCAAGCTGATACAGCCGATTTGGGCACCCAAAAGGTACGTGCACATGCATCATATCGCTTTACATCGTTGTAGATATGTAATATAACATTTTATATAATAATACATTATATATATAATATATGTATACAACACTAAAATGCATATATATATACATTAATTATTGTAATATGTATATATATATGTATATCCAATATATATTGTAATATATATATATATCAAATATACTATAAATGCATTCATAAATATATGCAAACATATGCATTGACATGCATACTGTATATACATAGTCATACATACATACATACATACATACATACATGCATGCATACATACATACATCCATCCATACATAGACAGACAGACAGACAGACAGACAGACAGACAGACAGACAGACATACAAATGATATCCTATACATAATTATACATATAGATATAGTTTGATATTTTTTTACATTGTATGATGAAGTTCTACCCCCACGGGATTTCACAACGTCGGGATGGTCATCCATAGGATGTGGCACTCTTTTTTCAATGAAAACCAATCGGTGGGTTCCCATCCCCAAGATACTTGCGTGAAAATCACATATTTGCGTAAAGAAATGGGGGTTTCCATAAATTGGGATACCCCAATTCATGGATGGTTCATAATGGAAAAAATCCTACAAACATGGATGACTGAGGGGTTCCCGCATGACTTTGGAAACCTCCACGTGTGATTTCCTGCAGTTTTTTTTCCCCTTCAATCCATTGATTTCAGGAGCTGCGTTGACATTCATGGCACTAAAAATACTCAGTTCTAGATTGGCTTACCCTCTGGTAAACTAACATAACTCTGGAAAATCACCGCTTTTAATGGGTAAATCAACTAGTTCTATGGCCATTTTCAATAGCAAACTGTTTGTTTACCAGAGGGTATAAAGTATCATAATGTCATCCAGGGATCATCCAAGTGCAAGATGCTCCAGAAATCCAAGGTAGCCTGATGAAATAGAATTGTCGGTTTTTATCCCATTCTGGGGGTCGTTCAAATCATCATTTTCGTTGCTGAGATCCCGCTTTGCTTAGAAATTCCTAGCAGATGTTTGATAGTTGAATCCCATTTACCCTCTGGTAAATTAACATAGACCCTGGCAGATAGGGGTTGGAAGACTAGTTTCCATTAAAAATTGATGATTTTCAGGGTCCAACTGTTTATTTACCAGAGGGTAACTGGTGTTCACCCTGTCGTCATAGGTTACCATTCCCATCATAGGTTACCATTATTTCCCCACATCCTCATAGTATATGATTCCATGTGTTTCCTATATGTTGGTGGCTGAAAAAACCGTGCTTGGATACTAACTAGTTCTTTAATGTTTTGCTATTCATGGTAAAATTTGATAACATTTGTTGATTCACCAGCTATTTTTTTTTTGACAGGTATAAATCAAATTCACCACGGTGGAATCCACAATTGTCTTGGTGAACCCTTTAGGTTCACGAAAAAAACAACTGGTGCCTTTTGCTCCAGGTTTTTCGTGCCTGGCGTGGGGTGAAATACGCTGAGTTCGAGCGTGTCTCGCAGCTGCTTCGACGCAAAGAGCAGGCGCGGTCCGCGGTGTTGTGCGCGTTTTCTTGATGGGATTTTATGGGAAAATCAACGGGAAGATGATGGGAATAGAGTTGGTTTGTTGGTTTAGAAACAACCATCAACCATTGCTGGTTGGTGGTTTCAAACATTTTTTATTTTCCATGATATATGGGAATCATCATCCCAACTGACTAATATTTTTCAAACCAACCAGATTATCAATGGGACAATATTGGATTATCATTTTGTTTAATGGTCGACTTAACGAATCTCCTACTTGGGTGCAGTGCAGGTGATTCTGTTGCACGGGGTGATCAATGAGTATAACCATTGTAGTACCCTCTGGTAAGCTAACAGTTTGCCATTGAAAATGGCCATAGAAATAGTTGATTTACCCATTAAAAATGGTGATTTTCCATAGTTATGTTAGTTTACCAGAGGGTAACTGTCATATGTATAATCTAATTATAACTGGAAATGCACGCCGTTTTCGAGGGGAACGATACCATATAGGCTTGTCTCGACATGGGGTATGAACATTAACTAACGATAGTTTTACGATAGATAATTGGATTATTATTATTATCCTATATTTTTCCCACATTATCCTGTATTACCCCGTATTATCCCATGACATGGGCTTAATCAGATTATTATCCCATCTATTTAAAACTAGGGAAACTGATGTTCTGAACATGTGGATGGACTGGGGGATCGCTATTTTCAGGCGGACTATCTATCTATCTATCCTATCTATCTATCCTATCGGTCCTATCCTATCGGTCCTATCCTATCGGTCCTATCCTATCGGCCCTATCCTATCCTATCCTATCCTATCCTATCCCATCCCATCCCATCCCATCCTATCCATCTATCTCTATATCTCTCTTTCTATCTATCTATCTATCTATCTATGTATCTATCTATCTATCTATCTCTCTATCTATCTAATTTATTTTATCTTATCTTATCTTATCTTATCTATCTTATCTATCTTATCTTATCTTTTCTTATCTTATCTTATCTTATCTTTCTTATCTATCTTATCTATCTAATCTATCTAATCTATCTAATCTATCTAATCTATCTAATCTATCTAATCTATCTAATCTATCTAATCTATCTATCTATCTATCTATCTATCTATCTCTCTCTCTATCTATCTATCTATCTATCTATCTATCTATCTATCTATCTATCTATCTATCTATCTATCTATCTATCTATCTTCTATCTAATCTATCTATATCTATCTATCTATCTATCTATCTATCTATCTATCTATCTAATCTATCTAATCTATCTAATCTATCTATCTATCTATCTATCTATCTATCTAGCTATATATATATATATGGCATGATATGGCGGTTTCCCGCCGTAAAATAGCTATTTAGAGACTCTCTAATACGTATTACCATGATAATTCCATTCACTAAAGATATATTAGTATTACTGTCTTTTTCCATATATTACGGTGATTTGTTTGCATAACTATTACATTACTATTGCAACATATTACTGGTTAGTGGTTTGGAACATTTTTTATTTTTCCATATATTGGGAATGTCATATTCCCAACTGACTTTCACTCCATCATTTTTCAGAGGGGTAGGTATACCACCAACCAGATTAGTATCCAGCAAATCCGGGAATCCCGGGGAACTTTGCCCAGTTGGTTTCGTAGGGATTCAACTTGGAAAAACCTGGAAAGCTGGTTGCCTTACTAAGAACTGGCTCATAACCATCACAACCCCAAAGCTAGGTGAAATGTAAGGCAAACTCAGTGAAATTACGAGAAAGGTTGATGCTTAGTATCTAGGAGTTTCACTCCTTCCTGCCCCTGTCAGTTCAATAAACTGCTGTGCTTATCAACCTTAGAAAGCCACTGGTAAACCAAAACCTTACATAAAAGGTATCTCATGGTCTCGTGGAAAAAATCCCGAGGTTGCGATTCGTTGGAACCATGGATCCTGCCAAGATAGTTCACATCAAGCAAAAAAAAACATCATGGTGAACCTGAGATAGCCATCTAAACTCTAAATAAATGGTTGCTCAATCCCTTACAACTCGGCCAGTCAACACGGCGAAAGGGTGAACTTCGCCACTGACTGGGATGGTCCTGGAGTCCTCCAAGTTTTTCGTTGAGACCTCCGCCCAGGACTTCCAAGAGTTACAAAGCTTGTCTTCCCACCTCTACACCTTCTCGCAGCAGGAGCCAAGAGGGGATCCAACTGGGATGGGAAGATGCTAAAATCCAACTCGGATGTCTGCAAAAAAATCATCCGAGTTGGCTAAAAAGATCCAGTTGATGATAGTTTATAGGACGGCTACCATAGATGTCCCAAATTCCCATTGGTGAGCAAAATAGAGGGGTTTCTTCAGAAAGCCCTTTAACAACAGGTAAATGATGATAGATGGTATACCAAACCGGCCCCTCTATTTTTACCAAAGGGACATTATTGGAGGCTACCAATTTTGGTTGGTGGTTTGGAACATGAATTTTACTTTCCCATCTATTAGAAAAAATCATCCCATCCCAACTGATTAATATTTTTCAGAGGGGTTGAAGCCACCAACCAGGATAGTTTATAGGAGAGGCTACCAGTTTTGCCAGGGTTCATGAATCCATGGTTGAAAATTGCTTGGATGTCCTTGTTTGTTAGTGACTGGACTGGATGTCCTGCGTCTAGAACTTGGTGCCTTGTAAAACTGGATTCCTAAGACAGCTATGAAGCGATGCCTGAGGTAATCATTCTGGTGGTTCACCAATGGTTGACCCACCCACTTTTTGTTGCTTAAACACCCAATGTTTGATACTCAAGGATCTTGTGCTAGCATAGTCTTAAAATGATCTTGGTTCCAGAAGCTTCATTTCTGTGGTTTCCCAAAATGAGCATGAAGCCATGTATATACATAAGATTAAAATCATCCTGAATTAGATAGAATATGGACTTGTCAAGCACTTTCCCAATTTAGTGAGGGTTTTTTGAACATTCACTGGTTGGTGGTTTCAAACATTTTTTATTTTCCATATATTGGAAATAATATTCCCAACTGAATAATATTTTTCAGAGGGGTTCAAACCACCAACCAGTTCAATATTATATCTACGAAAATCGATTAGCCGGAATGGAAGTTGATGGGAAAAACCGCGAGTTCTATTGCCGAGGGATTTTCTTAAGCAAGCCATGTTTGATGACCGTAGGGCAATCTACGTATTTTCTCGATGAATTATAGTATCTGATGGGTAAGGGGAAACAACATTTCAGCCATTTTCAGCGAGTATTTGTTGATTAAATCACAATTTTTCATGCTTACAATGTGGGGCCCCCAAGATAGCTAAGTTGGTTTATAACTACAATAACTAGGGTTTATAGTAGTTATAACCATAGTTAGATGGGGTTATAAACCAACTTATAACTAGGGGGCCCCACATTGTAGATACCTGTTCCTATCCCTTTTTTTCAGCATCATTTTTCCCATTGATAACCTATTTTGATCCCCATTGGATCCCCCAACCCCATGAATTTCCGATTTTTTCCCCCATGAAAAATACCATAGAATCCCCATGGAAATCCCTATGGAAATCCCCATGGAAATCTGCCATGAACATCTGATGAACATCCATTGATATCTCATTCATACCCTCTGGTTATGACTAACATAGCCATGGAAAATCGATGACCCTAATCGAAATAGATGATTTTCCCAGCGAACGAAACCTCCATTTATGGTTGGGATGTTCCATTTCGCTATGTTAGTCATAACCAGAGGGTATCCCATTACAGAATGGCCATGGGGCCATGATCCATGAAATTCTCCCAATAAATCATTGAAAATCCCATGAACTTCCCATGAAATCTCCAAGCAATTCCGAATCCCAGAGAAATCCTAAAGAATCCCTAGAAATCCGTAAAGAATTCGTAAGAATCCCAACAAATCCCATAGAAATCCTAACAGAAATCCTAACAGAAATCCCAATAGAAAAATCCGCGATAGAAATCCTTCAAAATCTCCATAGAAATCCTTCAAAATCTCCATAGAAATCCTTAAAAATCCCAAAGACATCACTAAAAACCCTCTAGACATCCTTAAAATCCTATAGAAATCCTAAAAAATTCCAGTGGAAATCCCAAAAATCCAATGTTTTTCCGCGCTGCCAGAGCTGCGGCCGGGCGCAGCGCATGGAGTCCGCGCTGCTGGCGGCGGAGAGGGCCATGGAACTGAGCGCCACACGCGGCACCTCGGAGTTTTTGCTCGGAAAGGTGAAAACCATGGGTTTTCTCTATGGAAAATACTTGGTGGCTCATCCCACGAATCGTAAGTGGGTTATATATAACCCCAGTGATTTACATGGGATAAGTAGGGTTAATCCACTTATAACTGGGGTTATAACCCACTTACTAAGTGGGATGAGCCACCAAGTATGGAATTAATATGGATTAATATGGATTAACCTATGGATATGGATTAGTATGGATTAGTATGGATTTATACTGATTATATGGAACACATGGATGAATATGGATGAATATGGATGAATATGGATGTATATGGATGAATATGGATGAATATGGATGAATATGGATGAATACAGATGAATATGGATGAATATAGATGAATATGGATGAATATGGATGAATTTGAATGAATATTGAAAAATGTTGATCAAGATATCATGGAAATTATCTATAATTGACTCTAAATCTATATATCTATAAACGATGTGGAGCATGTTTTTTTCCTCTATGGAAAATGATTGCTTTTTTTCTATGGAACATGTGAAACATATCATGGAAAATATGGATTACTATGGATTTATACTGATTAATATGGAACATCCATTGGGGACTATCATGGAAAATACAGATTACTATGGCTATGGAAAATATGAATGAACATTGATCATGTTTCCCAACGAAATTGCCAAAAATATCCCCCGTTTGATTACGGGAGGGTATCGTGGAAGATATTGGGTTAATGAGGATAATATTGGTTACTATGGATAACAGTCTGGAAAGTTTTATCCACATGGCATGGGATATATTGATAGTGTGTATATATATATATACATACATATATATATATATACATACATATATATATATACATACATACATACATACATACATACATACATACATACATACATACATACATACATACATACATATATATATATATACATACATATATATATACATACATACATACATACATACATACATACATACATACATACATACATACATACATACATACATACATACATACATACATACATACATACATACATACATACATACATACATACAGACATACAGACATACATACATACATACATACATACATACATACATACATACACATGTAAAACTGGTATTTTAACCAGCAATATTAACAGATTATAGGGATATATATATATATATATATTCGTACATGTATATACACATATTTCGGGAATAGAATGAGATATCACTGATGTGGGGATAACCATCTATAGATTGTGATTGGGAATTCATGCGATATTAACAATAAAATGGTATTTGGGTTTGTCTGAAAATAGGGGATTTATGCCCAATACCAATACGGGCATTTTGATGTGGAACATGTTGATTAATCATAAAACTATTGTTTGAAGGGGCTGTACAGTGGAATGGGGATATGTATATATACATACATATTATCATACATATATATATATTATACATATATATAATATACATATTATCATATATATATATATGTATAATATATATATATATGTATACACATGATGGGATGTAATGGGATTTCACAAACGGTATGATATGGCATCGCGGTGGTTTCATTGCAGAATACCCTTTTTTTCCTGACATTTCAATTGGAAAAATGATGATAAACAACGCAAGCATGGAATGTTGAACCAGAAATGATGGTTTGTTGGGGGGTACATAAACTGAGGAAAGCTTGGATGGGTGGCAATTGAAACGAATAATGTACAATTAGTTGAAGGTACAATTAGTTGAATACTTGAATTTTAGTTGGGTTATTGAAACCCTGCAAGATACTGTATCCAATTGGGCATGGCTTAGACTGCCCATTTCTGGCATGGCTTTCAGTTACTGCCCATTTCCCAACGTTCCCTGGCTGCCGCCAGGATTATCCCGAAGGTTGATTAGTAGAGAATTCGAAGCCAAGTTGTATCATTTTTGATCATTCGGAATCACACACAGAAAATATGTGCTTCTCAAAAAACATGAATAAACATGTTGGGCACCCCATTTTTCAGAAATCAAATCAAATTGGTTGAGACATTGTCCGAAAGCCATCGGCCTGAGTTGGCCGAAAGAAAACATTTCCCTTTTGATATGTCAGCCTCTGCGAATGAAATTTAATAAAGCTTGTTTGGGTTCAGTCAGAGCATCACTTTGATGATGTTTTTCCGATGCCTATGGTCCATTTTTTCCATTGAACATCTCCATTTTCGCATTAAACTTGGGATGTCCCAGCGACCCTTTCCATGTTTGTGAAAACCGCAACTCCTGTGACACCAAGGAAATGACTTGGAGCGGCAGGTGCAGATGGGCTAGTATGATCCCCAACCTTGGAGAAGTAGAAAAAATAATCCTTTAGTTTTTTTTTAACTATCAACGATATATATATATAACCATAACAACCAGCAAAAGATGACATTCTTTTGTGGACTACCAAAGATTGACCATGGCATTACTCTCAGAGATGGTGGTTTAGCCATGAAAGCGAGCAGCGGCTGAGAAGGAGCACAGGCCCCAAGTTGTAGGTGTAAACGTTCACATAAGATGTGCAAACCCCATAGTTTCCCTCAAACATTTCTATAGAAATGCAGTGTTTTCCACATCGGACTGTTAGTTTTCCTCGGAGGGTCAGTGTTGGTTGATAACTTCATCTAACTAGTTGCAACTAGTTCGATATATTCACCAAAAAAACCGACAGGTTAGCTAAGTTGGTTTGTAACTATAATAACAATAGTGTATGATACTTATAAATATGTTTAGATGGGTTATAAACCAACTTATAACTAGGGGGCCCCATCCTGTAGTTATTCTAGTTACATACCTTCTTACGCATCTAAAAAAAGCTTCTTGCACCTCACAATGGCGGCAACGATTTTCCCAGCAACCAGATATAAGGGGTCTGACCTTGGTCCCAAGGGAATTCATGGTACTTATGGCTTGGGTGAAGGGTTTTTCAGTTCACTCGGAGACAATTATAGTAATTTCTTTCAAATCACGAGCCATCCAACGTTCCAGAAATCACTTGAACATAAAATGAGAAATGGATACATTTCATTTTTGGAATTACTTTTCTTTTGGTCACCATGAATCAACGCAACATCAACATCAACCATGTTGGATGGCAACTCTTCAACGTGACCGATCCTCGATCCATCCAACTCTTCAAGGGGTACGGTGCTAAGCGTAGGGAATGGATGGGTTGCTGGGGGTTGCTGGGATTATTATTGATAGTGATTATGGATCATTCCCTCATTCCCCGCGTTTTTTTCGCACCAGTAAGCAATGGAAAATCCTTCAGTCAGATGATCTACCCCTCGAAACTTTTTTTTTCCGGCCACGAGTCAAAATAAGAAAAGAGGGAACTACTTTTTGTTTGGGAACGACAAATTACCATGTCATACACGACTGAAGAGGTCATAGCTAGAAATTACCTTCCTCCAAACCAACAATCTCATTTCAGCCAACCCCCCAAAGGTAGCTCCGAAATAGAGTTTATGAATCCTTTGTGCCTCATCTCAGCTAGTAAGTGGTCTATAACCCCAAGTCCAAGTACGGCGAGTAGGGTGCACCCCAGTTGTAGCTGGGGTGCACTTCGGATTCCTGGGTCGCCACCAAGTAGGGATCATTAACCACCACCCAGCACGACCCTTTGTGAATTGGGGGGCACATTTAGGGCCATTTTTCGGGTTGGTTCAATCCCAATTGCAGCAGTTGCTATCCATCACAGCCACACATATTACCCCTTGCTGACCAACATTAAACCTATACAAATCTAGACTATAAAACAGCTAAATCATTGCAGATCAATGTTAATCCATATCAATGAGTATATTCGCCTTTCTTAAAGGCATGTTTTTGCCACGTTTGAATTCGCTGCGCCGCCCCGTTATAATCCATTACCATCCCACAGGGATGGTCCCCCTAGTTATATAATGTCAACCCCGGATAAATAAACCATGGTTTATGAAAATTAGGGGGTATTCCCCCAATAGTCATGATTTGATACTTTTTTATGGTACCTTCCCAATTAAATGGCCGTTTGGGGTTTATTAATCCAGGGTTGACATTACCCTATGGTCCCCCTAGTTATAAGTCAACTTAGCTAACTATATGGTTCCTTCCTGTAGTTCACCATAGTTCACCTACTTTTTAAAGGCAACTTACCAATCTAGGGGGCTCGGCCTTGCATACAAGCCATGATACTATCCACATCTAGATTTAACTATCCATGTGATACTGCGATACTTCCATACTTTATCAATCTTTATCATATAATTGGCTAATATAGCTCATACGACCTTTTTGGGTTGGGCTAATTCCATACTATTGCCTATTCTTAAGCATTAGTAGCATTTCTTTTTATTATCATATTTAAAACAGTATACTCCATTATTTACAAATACTTGTGGGTGCAGCTTCACCAATAAGTTGTTATCACCAAAGGACCATAGTTATATATATATACACACTGTATATAATATATCTATATAATATGTACCATAGTACCATAGTTATATATATATACTGTATATACTGTATGTTATATATATAGTATATACTGTATATATACCATAGTTATTATATATGTATATATATATACACACCATAGGGCTAAACTCTCCCAACTTTTAGGCTTTATTACAAGGGTTACATCCATAAAAATGACCTTAGTCCTCCACCCCCAAAAACTAAACGTTATTCACCATTATTAGCAATTACAAGTGCTTTCCAATATTAGTGCACTCCATGACGAAGTCCTGTTATTAATGACAAAAGTATTTTATCATTGCACCCCCAAGTACTGATTTTATGTTAACCATTAGGACTGTACAACCACTATGTATCATGTTTGTCACATATTATTCACTATCGCATATTAGCAACATTGTCATATTTAGTATTCTCCACTATTCATTATTACTGTTGACCTAAACCCTAAACCATTAGTACTATGTAACCATTACTGTATATAACCATTATGGTAATATATCTGGGGAGCCACTTCATAAAAACCCAATACTCGTATTTTCCAGTACAACATGTTTTTTCAATATTTGATCAGCATAAAGAAAGTAAAACTGCAAAAATCATACTATATATATATATAAAGTCCATTTGGTGAAACCTGTATGTCTTGCAATATGTATTGCTCAAAAAAGTTTAGAATAGAGGACGAACCCTCCAGTATATCATCATTAGTAGCTTAATAAATAAGCTAAGTACTAATTATTAATTACCAATTAATTAGGTACCATTAAGTACCTTAGTAAATTTAATTTACTTCACCATGAAATTCCGCTCGGTCAGCGTAGGTGGTGGAGTTGCAAGGACGTTTGCAGCAGCACCAGGACGCTGAGGATTTACAGCGCCACCAGCGACCTGCCAGGGGGGGGACAGCTATGGGAAAAGCCTATGGGAAAACCATAGGGACACTAATATGGAACAGATATGACATAAAATGGGCAAGTTATGGCATATGAATCATACGAATCATATGAATCATATGATCATTTCCAAAAATGGAAAATCTGCACTAGTATGGGTTATAACATGTTATAGATATGGGGTTATTGCCCACGAAATGTGGGATGCACCATGTTTTCCTCATGGGGCACCAACCCAAAGCCACAAAACCAAGCAACATGAGGCTGTTTTTCGACCCCCAAAAATGTGGCCAACTGATTTACGGTGGATGAAACCAGACACTGGATTGTGGATACGATGCCATTTGGATCGAACAAAGCCACAAAATCGTGTGAGTACGGATCCATTTGGCGCAGTCTTATGGTAAATGAACCGATCATCTTTAGATATATTTGACCATATGGCTATGGTGAAAATTCGCGGTACAAGAAATCCCAACAAAAACAGTTGGCTTTAATTAGGATTGAGCAATTGTCGACTTGCCGGGAAAAGTAGCCAACAGTAAAACAACTGAATAGGTGTAAAGCTTTGGGTTTCTTGGGTTGAAAGCAGCAACAAGAATGAATCAAACATGCCCAGAAACTGTGATTTTGAACTCACGAACTGAGTGAAACTGAGCGGAAGCAAGACGTTGGATTCATATATACTTTAACGAAAAATATGAAACTTCTAAAATCAAGTAGTTCATGTTTTTTTTTTTGTTTGTTTTTGCCCAACACCAGGGTACTCCCGAAACATGTTTTTTGCTTATGGCTTGGGAATAATTGGGAGCACGCGGCACTGTTAACCTCTGGGAGGTTAGAGACAGGGGACGATGGGTTCGTCAACAACCAGGCTGTGTTTGATTACCTTAGTCATCAAACAGGGGCTGGTAAATGGGTCTGCCTGATCTATGGGAAACCACCATGAAACCACCATTGAATCAGCATTTTCCATATGGACGTTGCCATTGTGGGGGCATACCATGACATAATCCATTTTCAGACACACTCAAATGAAAAAAAACTGGACTGTCCCAGATGATATTTGGATTGTTTCATAACCCTGAACAAAACATAATAAACCCCCTGCTGAATCCCATGCTTGATATATGGATTTGTCTGAAAAGAGGGTACCACAAAAATTGATGGTTTAAAAACTCATTTTCTCAGTACACTTGCCATTTTGGTGTATCCCCTTTTTTTGGACACACCCATACCCTCTCTACTGTATGCGGTTTGTGACTATTCCAAGTGACCCAGGGACGATTTTAGGCTCTTTCAAATTGGCAGAAATCATCGACAATCGAAGGACTTGCATCAATCAACAAGAATTGATTCAACAAGATGGATTATGGCCATACACTTATGTAGATTTTTAGTGCGTTTCTGGAATTAGCTGGATTTACCAACGCACTAAACGTGTTTTCCTGCGGAGAGAGTTTGGGAAAAATAACATGAGAAAATATAGGGATTGCACCACCCCCATTGATTATTGTGGGGTATACAAAAAGATATGGAAAATCCATGTGAAAACCTATGTTTTTGTTTGGCTCTTCCATATTTATGATCTACAAAACCATGGCTGTCTTGTCTTCGAGATGGTGAAGAGTTTCTTGGGATCCTGCAGGCAACTACTGGGATTCCTATGAAAGAGTAGAAAAATCGTTGGATTATGGAATTTTTGACATGTTTTGACCATCTACCAATTGGTTTTCTAGGATTTTATTTTTTGAAGCAACCCATGGTATTTTACCACCAATGTAGATATATATAATTATATATCCATGGGATACTTCCTTCATATATACATATATACATATAATAGTATATATAATAATATATATATAATAATATATATAATAATATATATAATAATAAATATAATAATATATATATATATAAGAATGTATATGATAATATATATATATAATAATAATAATATATATAGTAATATAAATAAGAATGTATTTAATAATATTTATAATACTATATATAATAATATATATAATAATATATATAAGAATGTATATAATAATGTATATAAGAATGTATATAATAATAGATATATAAGCATATATATAATTATGTACAATAATATATATAATAATATAGATAATAATATATAATAATGTATATATAAACAATATAATAATATATTTAATAATATATACAGTAGTATATATAATGATATATATAGTAATATATATAATAATTTATATAGTAATATATGTATATAATAATATATATAATAATAAATATAATAATTAATGTATTAATAAATATAATAAGATGTAAAATAATAAATATAATAATATTTACAATAATATACAAAATAATATATATAATAATATATATAATAATATATATAGTAATATATAACAATATATATAGTAATATATAATAATATATATAATAATATATATAATAATATACATATATATAATCACATATATATAATAATATATATATAATAATATATATATATATATAATATAGTATAATATAATATAATATAATATATATATAATCATATATATATAATATAAATATAATAACAATATATAATAATATTTAAAACAGTATATATAATGATATATATAATAATATATTTAATAATATATATAACAATTTGTAAAATAATATATATAATAATATATATAATAATATATATAATAATATATATAATAATATATATAATAATATATATAATAATATATATAATAATATATAAAATAATATATATAATAATATATATAATAATATATATAATAATATATATAATAATATATTATATATGATAAAATTTAATAATATATATATAGTAATATATATAGTAATTTGTATAGTAATATATGTATTTAATAATTTATATAGTAATAAATACAAATAATAATATATATATAATAATAAATATAATAATTAATATATTAATAAATATAGTAATATGTAAAATAATAAATATATTAATATATACAATAATATGTATAATAATATATATAATAATATATATAATAATATATACAATAATATATATTATAATATATATAAAAATATATAATAATATATATAATCATATATTTGATAATACATATATCAATATATGTAATAATATTTTTAATGATATATATAATAATATATTTAGTAATAAATATCATAATAAATATATATATATATATATATATAAATACCAATATATATACCAATATATATATACCAATATATATATATATATACCAATATATATATATATACCAATATATATATATACTATAATATATATAATATATAATATAATATGTATATCTCTTTATCTATATCTATATCTATATATCAGTGATTTCAGAATGGGTTGGTCCAAAAATTACCCAATGGAAAACTGATGATCCCAAAAAATGACCATGAACTAACGGGGAGAACGAGCTTTGTATCCAACGGTTTTTTGTTTTTTTTCCACCTCAATTCTCAGAATGATAGGTATATATATATATATCTACCATAAATCTTAGACTAAAATAAAGTGAGTGAGCATATCTTACTTGAAGGTTCCCCTAGTCCAAAACCAATTGCTGCTGGCATCACCAAGGTATGAATTCCAAGTGACTCGGAGGTGCGACAATCATATCCCAATCCCCCAAGAAATCCTATGGCATAAACCACCATAAACAAGCCATGACTGGGAAAGGTTTATACTATACCACCCATACCACCTATTTATTAATGGTGATGACTCGAAAACTCCTTACTTGGAGGACCCTACTGTCCTTGGATCCCTATATATAGTCCAGAGGGGATATTCCATCGCTAGGGACAGAAGCCATTTACCCTCTGGTAATTTAACATAGCTATGGAAAATCACCATTTTTAATGGGAAAATCCACTATAAATGGCCATTTTCAATAGCTATGTTAAATTACCAGACGGTACTACTTATAATGCACCAAGTATAACCATGGTGAGTTAACCCCCATCAGTTTGGATATTTCACAACCCCTTTTTGGGTATGGTGAAATCTATCCACTTTGCAAAGCTGGGTTTGTTGAGTCGCTGATCCAATAGGGTGTCCCTGACAAGGCAATTTCCTATCCAAGTTTGTGGGGAAAATGATGGGAGATCAACATGTCTCGACCATGAACATCTGGGGTAAAGTGACAAACAATTGATGTGTGTTTGACCATCAACATCCTTTTGGATTTAACATATTTAACGAACATGATGATTTATCAACCATTTGATGGAAGATATAACCGCACATATGATATGTTACACAATATTACACAAAAGCAGGTTGTGTCCTAAAAGCCAGGCACCTTCCAAGTATGGTGGTATCTAGACCGGAAATGGAAATATCTCATATCTTTATATATCGTTGGCAAATACCTGAAATTAATTATAGAAACTAAAGATATAGATCTGATGTTGGGTTGAACATGAACCAAGTCAAAGTGTGGGGTAGCCCCTTTTTTAGACAAACACACTTAGTACCATCCCCAAATGGGCCAACATTTCAGGTGTAAACATTCGAGTTGTTGCCTAATTGAAAATGAAGTTTATCACGGAGACTTGAAAATTATCTTTGGATTGACTTAGCAAAAAAAATATAAACAACTTGATTCCAAGCGAATCTCAAAACGCAGACCAGATCATAAGGTAGTTTGTTGCTGATTAAAACTGACACATGAATCATTGCGCCACTCCTATTCACTCTTTTCACAGAGTTAAAGAGGCCTTATCTGATCGCAGCCGGGTACATTATTGTTGTAATGAATCATTTTTCCATCATTAGTCATTCTTTTTCCCAATGTCATGGTATCCCCAATAATATCTCCATGAATATCCCCATTCATATCCTATTAGGTTCATATTTCCATGAAATCCCATGAAATCCCTGTTTCTTCATGGATGAAATCCCCAATAAAACCACATTTTTCCCCATGAAATCCCCCAAAAAAACCCTAGAATCTGGATTTTCGATGGGTTTCGTTGGGATTTTCCGTGAATTTTCATCCACCTCCCCATGATTTTCCCACCAAAACCGCATCCGCGCGTGGAAAGGTGGGACGCCGAGCTGGTGGCGCAGCAGGGCAAAAGGCAGCTGTTGCTCGCCGAGCTGTCGGCCAGTGAAGATCAACAGGCGGCAACGTCGGCTTGTTACAGGGGGAACGACATGAATTTAATTAAGTGATTTAATGGGATCTTAATAGGATTTTATAGTGATTTACTGGGATTTGTAATGATTTACTGGGATTTATAAGGATTTCCTGGGAACGAAATGAATTAAAGGACCGGATAACCAAATAGGAACTGGAAAAGAAAGGTAAAGATTGGGAACCAAGCGCGCCACAGAGCCAGCCCAGAGCCATCAGTGCCACGCCTGCCACGCAAAGTGACGGTGGATGTCACCAAGTGCCACGCCTGCCACGCAAAGTGACGGTTGATGTCGCCAAATACCGCGCCTGCCACGCAAAGTGAACAAGTTGTGTGTGGACAAGTTGTGTGCGGAGAAGTTGTGTGTGAGCAAGTCGTGTGTGGACAAGTTGTGTGTGGACAAGTTGTGTGTGAGCAAGTTGTGTGTGGACAAGTTGTGTGTGGGCAAGTTGTAGGAGGAGGAGGTGGGAGGAGGAGGAGGAGGAGGAGGGCCGGAGGCGGGAGTGCAGAACCAAAAACAAGAACCCCACATAAAGATGTGGGGAAAAACGATAGGTTACTGGTTGGTGGTTTGGAAAATGAATTTTATGACTTTCCATAGATTGGGAATAATAATCCCAACTGACTTTCATATTTTTCAGAGGGGTTGAAACAACCAACCAGGTTATATAGTGGTTAGTAATGGTTAATAGTGGTTAGTAATATATTATAACCATATCTGGATATAGATCTGGGTAAATTTAATCACGACCTCACTGCGACCTAAGCCTGGAATAAGGTTAGTAAGGGAAATTATCCCAATATGGTCTTATCTCAGGTTAGTGAATTATTCTTATTTGCCCAGATAGATACATATTTCATACCAACACATCTTAATATGTGTTAGTAATATATATATATATAGTGTTATTGAATATATCTGTGGGCACAGCAAGTGCATCCCAGAAAGGCAAAGATGGATCAAAAGGTAGATAATTACAATAAATATGTTATTAAAAATGTTGTCGTTAATATACATCAGAAAAATGTACTATGGATAATGTTGTTTTGTTTGTACTATGTGTAATATATATATATATATATGTGGGGATACTGATAGTATTGTGTATTAATATGGTGTAATATAATATGTATTATTTTTATTATATAGTGTATACTCACTATTGTATATGAATTGGGTTTATTAGGGAAATATATGAAATATAACGTATATCATATATATATAGTCTAATGTATTATTTACATTTACATCGTGCTTAAATATCAAACGCCTATTCTACGAAACCTATACTGAGTATACTGTATATGAAGTTTCAGACACACTGTTTGGATATAATAAGCATATAACTACTGTGTATATAGATTATATACATATGACCATTTGTCAAAAATAGTTGTTTAGAAGTTTAGTATTGGTTGTTGATAATTCATCTGGGTCTAGTGTTTTTCCTCTTCGTTATGAGGCGGCACGCAACTAAATTCAGCAATTCTGCAAGGCAGCGCTAGCAAACCCGCTAGGTTTGCGCTAGGTTTGATTGACAGCCATGGCCTCCATGTCGTGAATGTCTTGCCAGCTTTTCTTACAAGTCTGTCAGTTTCCACATATTCCCAAATTTTCGATTTTTTTTTACGTATTTTACGCGCTAGATCGCCGCTAGCAACGCGCTAGCGAAAATTGCAAATACATGCCCCGGTCCACCCGCAGCCTATACAGAGGGCACAGCCATGTTCACGCTTTGGTAGCTTACAGTAAGGAAATAGCGTTGATCAGGAGGCATGTCAAGAAGCATATTGCATTCAGAGAGGCACACACACACACAGAGACACACAGTTCAGGAGATAGTACCAGCGACAGCGAATGAAAACCGACGTGCGTTAGCCGATTCCTGTGGTTAGAGAAAGATTTCCAAAGGTAACGAAGAATTTCCACGTTTTCACGTCATCAAGGTAGGTCATGTTTTTTAAAGGCAAACATGAGGCGGCACGCATGGAATTGCGATTTATCAACAAAACCGGGAACAGACATTTTGACAAACGTCATATATATGTATATATATATAAACTGATGATATAGTATAATAATACACAATATTCTGAGTAAGCTAATATATGTATATACATGCTATATTACGTATGAATACTATATACTAAAAAGTTTCATATACATATATTGATATATTTACATGTATAACATATGTATATATATATACATACATATACACTGTACCCTCCGGTGTCCTCAAACGTGGCTGGCTGGAAGATCCCCGCACTAAATCGAGGTTCATGGCTGGGAACATCATGAAACTAAATGATGGAGTTCTATTGCCATGTTTGATTACAGCAGGGTAAGTATATATCATATATATAACTGTATATACTACTGATATAATATACTGTGTGTATTTATTTACTTACACTATATACAAATGATAATACCTCTATATCCCATATACTAAATATATATATATATATATGCACCACAAAAAACACAACATACATATGATACATACGATACATACGATGCATACGATAAATACGATACATACGATACATGCGATACATACGATACACATGATACACACGATACATACGATACATACGATACATATACGATTCATATACGATACATATACGGCACATATACGATACATACGAAAACATACTAATACATACGAATACATACGAATATATCACATACGAATACATACGAATACAAACGATACAAACGATAGATACGATAGATACGATAGATACGATAGATACGATAGATAAGATAGATACGATACATACCAACAAACAATCAAACATTCAAACAATCAAACAATCAGACAATCAGACAATCAGACAAACAGACAAACCAACAAACAGACAAACAAACAAACAATCAAACAAGCAAGCAAGCAAACAAACAGACAAACAATGTATATATATATATTATTATACACCAAGCTTGAAGTGACATTCACAACAAACGGGTCTGAACATGGTGATTTAAGTGATTTTAACATTTCATCAGCAAACCTCGGGTTGGGAAGCCGCGGAACAAATATCGGTTTAACGGCTTAACGATTTCACGGGTAATCTAATCTGGCAATGGGATAACCCGTTTGAACATGTGTATATACATATATACACTATATATGTATATGTATATGTATATCTATATCTATATGTATGTGTATATATATGTTTGTGCTGAAGCCATAGTGAGCTTAGGTGAGTTGCTCCGTCTGGTAAACCAACAGGACATTTTTGCTGTCTGTATTTCCGGGCCGATTCCACGAACGACGAAGTTTCGATGCAGAAGTCCACCGATGCAAAAAAATCGAAGGTTCGTTGATTAAACCTCCAGAAGATCCAGCATTTTTGTTGGTTCAACCCCATAATAACCATTGGGTGGTTATCCATATTGTCTAATGGTTGTTAACCTATACTACAATGGTCTCATTTATGGTTAATAATTGTGGTTAATCATTGCTAATAATAGTTAATAATGGGATTACCCTCTGGTAAACTAACAGTTTGCTATGGGAAAATCACCATGTTTAATGGGAAAATCAACTATTTCTATGGGCCACTTCCAATAGCGAACTGTTAAATTACCAGAGGATAATCAATGAAGCCGTGTTTCAGAAAAATAAGAAGACATTTTTTTGGTCAGTTATATACTTTACTCCAAAATACGTATTTTCACCATGTTGTGAACCCACATATGTTCTTACTTTTTTCTTTCCCGGGGGCTTTCACAACATATTCCAAAAACACTTATTCTCCATTTAAGTTGTTGTTTTGGAATATGTTTCTGAGTTTTTTCCTAACCATGGTGACTGAAACATATAATGTATATACATACACATATATATAATTATATATATTTATCATATTTTCACCATGGTGTGAACCTCGTTTTCTTTCAATCAATATGCTAATCATGCGAAACATATTTTACGTACATATATGGAAGTTTCCTGAAATAGGGGTACCCCAAATCATCCAAGTCATGGATGACCATGACTTAGTATTGAAACCCTTGGTGACTTGTGGATCCCCTATTTCAAGAAACCCACTATATACTATACACCCTCTGTTAAACTAACATAGCTATGGTAAATCACAATCATAATGGCAACATCAACTATACATGACTTATTTTCAATAGTTATGTTCAATTACCAGAGGTTATACATTTATAGCAATTTATCATTCACTGGATTGGTTTGAGGGAAAGTTTACAGGAACCCCCTTTTTTTCATGGGGAAAACCATGGTTTCCGGTGAAGATTTTCCCAACAAAACCAATCCACTGAATCATATTTTAGCGGTTCCCAACTCTCCAGAACCCGATCTTTGTGCCGAGGTGCACCTTCATCAGCAGATGGGACATCTTCGTGCAGAGTCGGACGCATGGAGATGTCTCTGGGGGAAAAGCACGACCAAAAATCGATGTCAATGGGGATATGGGAAAATCATCCAAGAATCATGGGCTTTATTGTTGGGGTGTCTGAAAATGGGGGATTGACTTCCATTTCATAGCCATTTCAATGGGGAGAATGATGTAGGGGGTACCCTATTTTCAGTCAAACTCAATGGTGTAATAAGAGTAATGGACAATTGGGGTCATTCTTGGGGTGATACTATCGGTGATACAGCGAATTTCATTGGATTTTGATATCATTTGAACCGATGAATTTTACCAGTTATGGAGGATGTTCCTATCTTAGGGGGATTATACCATCCAGTAATCAAACGTGGCAATGGAACATGCCCCAGCTATAGATGATTTTCGCATCAAATCCTCCATTTGTAGGGGATTTTCCAGCTACTAGTAGCCGCGTTTGAGCAGACCGGAGGGTAACACTTTACAAATTGCGGTGTTTTTTCACAAGTTGAATAGTGACCAGCTCCCATTCAAGCCGGGCAAAACAGAAGCCACTTGCGGTACAGAACTCTGTTACTATTATGGGTGTTTATTCATCATAGTAGTCACAGTAGTTACACCACTAACAGTTGGTAGAAGATATCATGGAGATGTGGCGGGATGCCGTACATTCACAGACCTTAACAAAATGGGGGGTCTAAACATTCATGTAACATGTATATATATATATATACTGGTTGGTGGTTTGGAACATCTATTATTTTTCCATATATTGAGAATAATCATTCCGACTGACTAATATTTTTCAGAGGGGTTGAAACCACCAACCAGAGTATATATATAGGCATTTCTGGGTAAATTTCTGGCTCAAACTGGCGCCGAAGAGAAAGTGTCAAAGCTCGACATCTTGACGCAGGTACCGTGTTGGCCGAAGCCAGTCCTCACGGACCCCTTTGGCCACGGTCTTGTTGATGTGGAGATGTGCGTTGGGGGCGCTCCAGGGCCGATGCGCTTCGATTTGGGGTGGTGGATGACGGGAATCCACCCCCACACGAAGCGGCATCGGAAGGCTGCGCCTTGGGATACTAGAAGAAGTCGTCGCCGGCCACAATGGGAGGGCCAGATCCCTGCCACCTTCTGTAGTGGTCTGATCATCAAGTTCCTGAGACATCCGCTGATTCCGGTCAATATAATTTGAATTCAAACCGATGCGAGGCAGGCAGCCGCTGCCCGTGCTAAGGTTTTCTCAGGCTTGGGAGTTGTCAAAGGCAAGAAGTCTCTTGGCTTACGACTCAAGGACTGTGAGTATGATGCAGCATGAGACGTTTTATGTCCACGCTTGCCCATGGAGATCTCATGTTCAAGGCCGAAGGTTTGCCCTTTGGGACCACTTTCGGCATGATGAAACGATGGGCTGCAAAGATAGGATGGGAGTGCCAGCCAGTTTGGTCCCTTGGCCCGAAAGCAATGCTCCTCAGGCTTGACAGACAGCCACCAGGGACCAGAGGGTATCCTCATGTTCGACTGCACGCCCATTTTGGTGCATTTCCTGACGCCCTGCCAATGCTCTAACACTGGTGGGACCGAGAGCCACTCGGTCCAGCAAAGAGACAGCCGCAGAACCTGGTGCCATGTTTGATCCGTGGGGAAGTTACAGTGGGCAATATCCACCGCAGTGCCTATGCGAACCACTGATGGGCCCACTGAAACTAGATTGGCTGCTCAAGATCAGAAACTCCAGGCCATTGAAGCACAGATCAAGGGCTTGCCCAAAAGCAGGATGGATACATCAAGCACACGGGACCAGATTCCAAGCTGCTGAGGAAAGATTCAAGATGCAGATGCAAGATGTTGCCAAACCCACGGAGAGCGTGAAGCAGGACCGTGACAAAGCCCTGCAATATGCTTTTCAAAAAAGCACAGCGGGTATGGATGAACGCATGGCTGAGTTGAAGCATGTGCTTGGTGGACAAATTACATGGAACGTCCGCCGCCTGGCTCCGGTGATATGGAAGATTGACCGTCCACCGGTCTGCGAACTGAACTTATGGATTTTCTTGGATGTGTGCCTTGGTTTTGCTTCTGCTTGTTCAGTGGTTTCTCCATCTCTCGTTGCATGAACACGGTTAGGGTTGACAAATCTGAAGTTAGTATGCTCCACACACACACACAGATAATCGCCGGGCATGTCACCGTCCGTGATTAGCAATTTTTTTGAATGATTTTCCGTGCCAGCATTGTGAGCAATGTGGTTTCAGCCTCGTGTTGCTTAGCCTTAACGCTTCCAAGCCAAGTGTCACAGAGCACAACATTCAAAGCTCTGCCGCACTACACAGGACCAACAGTTTGCAGTCATGGGACCTTATTGCCGAAGGGTTTGTCCTTGAAGGTCTAAACATTGCATGGGGCCTGAGTATTGTGATGGTAGGCTTTTGGCCGAGAAGACCACATGGGACATGTAAAGTAGAACGCCCTTGTGCTGAAACATCCAGAGCGTCTTCTTTTGTCATCACCCTGCTCTGACTGGTATTAAATGTTCAGATTCACACCAGTTGCGAAATAGGCCTCCGATATTGATTTTTGACAGCCATCTTGGCATTTTGCCACGACATCATCACACACGATCCACATGTTGTCTCTAGAATTGGAGAGGCTTCCAATCCTGGCCCTGAGTCCATAGCTTTGCCATCACTGATCCAACCTCCGTTGTGTCAAAGCCGCAACAATATGCAGACCTCATTGAGGAACAAAGACTGGATGTGGTCAGTGCCTCAGAGACTGCTGCTACAAAGCGCGCTCAGCGACAGTTTGCCAGCGAAATGCGGAAGATTGGTTTTCGTTCTCGCTGGTCACTGCCTCTTGAAGACTGGGTAACCAGAAGTGATAGAACGCCATCCCTCAGGGATAAGGCCTCTTGAGTAGGGCTTTTTTCTGCACGGCCTATACCTACAGTCAGTGATACCATTGATGAATACCATGCTGCCACTTCGCGCGTTGGACATTTTCTCTTGGAAGGTTCCAACTGCAGATTGTAGCTACATATGGTCTTGCCATGTTAGGCTCCACGCGTGCCAACACCTTGCTTATTTAAGCTGCTCTGGCTGCTGTTGATCACTTTGAACTAACATTTGTAATCATGGATGATTTTAATTCTGATCCAGCACAACTAGTCCCTGATGATCTTTTGGTTAGGCAGATAAGGGATTTGAAAGCCCTGCGTGCCAGATTCTATGGGCAAAGCATGCCCTGCACCTGCAAGGGTGCTACCTGGGGCCGGATAATGCGTTGCTCTCGCCACAGGCTGCTGCTTGGCTCACTGAGGTTCAGGTGTTGCCACCAGAGCACTTTGATGCCCACAATGTGGTCACTTTCCAACTGTGCATTCCTGACGCATCCATGCGTTCCTACCGTTTGCCTATGCCGCAAACCTGGATTGACTTGCCAATAGACCAACAATTCATTACCCCAGCGTATGATGAAGTGATACCTGCATTTGGAGTGCCTGACAGCGGGGACAATGCATTGAAGGTACAGTGGACCATGCTTACCGCTGTACCCAGCAGGCCAACCAGAAGAGTACCTTGGTCGCAAACGAGACCGCTTCCAAAGCAATACAGGGGTCGATGCCAGCCAAGACGTTTCCAACTTGGTCCGAGGTGTTTGTTGACCAAGCCTGCACGACCGGGTGATTATGCGCACGGGGGAAATCATCCGCAGGGGCACGCAATGCAGCATCAAGCAGGTGCGTCGAGTGCAAGCCCTTCATCGCCGTGTTTGCAAGCTCAAACCCACTCACCCAGTGATCGGCAGCAGTATGACGTGCAACAGGAATGGCTTGCTATACTTAGGTGTAAGGCTTTTGATGGATGCCAAGTCAAATGCTGGTGCAACACACGCCAGAGTTGGGACCTCCTCCAATGCAAGTGCCCCAGGTTGACTATCTGGGCACTATGTTGGAGCTCACGCGGTACCAAACTGACATTGATGTTGCTTTGGACCGTAAGATCCACAAGGAGCGAGTTGCATATGCCAGAGACCTGGACCATCGACATGCCAGTAATCGAGCTGCTTTTGCAACCATAAAAGAGGCCAGTGCACCACCACTGGTAGAAATGCAGCAGGAAGTTTCCACGGCAGCTATTTTTCTGCGAGAGCAAGATGATTTGGTACGGGCCTATTGTGATAATCCTGAATGCTTCGACTTTGCATCACCGGTACAGATAAATGATGAACCATCCGCAGAGTTTGCCAAAGATTCTTTTTCACTGACATTGCGCACAGCGACACAAGAGGACCTTCCAGAGGAAGCCGAAATGACCCATGGATCAGACCAGGGCTGACCCCAAAGCCATGCTCTCCAAGTTGAAAGAATTTTGGTTGCCATTTTGGTATCGCCCGGATGCAACAACAGGAGTCTCTGCGCAGTTTGAACAATTCGTGTCCAGCTTGCCGCAGTTTTTTTCCAGCGCCTGTCATCGACCTTGATGATTTCCAGCTATTGCAAACATGTGTGCGGGAACTCAAGGTCTCTGCCAGGGGAATTGACGCCATTTCTTCACTTGAGCTCCACCGGTTGCCTCCGCTGGCCATTACACATGTGAAAACCCTCAGTGGTCTTACTGTCCTTTGCATGGCGGCTGCCGTTGTTTGTCAACGTTTTTCCCCAGAATAGCTCCGGTGTGCAATGGTGCAGGCGCCGGGTCAGGTTCAACGAGGTTCCGGAGAAGGTCTGGGAGGCTTTGGTGCAGAGAGTTTGCGGCCATTTAACTCACGGAAACCCAGCTGAGGTGTTTCCAGCGCTTGGCTTCGCAACACGCTTCAGCAAGATTTTTAAGACTCCCCACTCCACCAGATCGGGTGGGGCCTCTGACGTGCGGAAAAGGGTACCCTTGCTGCGACCTCACTGGAATGTGGCTAGTAGGAGTAATTATCCGAAAAAATACGAACTTTTCAGAAATCCTATAATTTACTCACATATGCAAATTTATTTAAATATGCACAGACATATTTCCCCATCCTTCAAACCTGGAAGCCTCTCCGTGAAGATTCAGGAGCAACTGTTGCGCGTTCAACTGGAAGAACTTTCGGTGGAGGCGGTCATTTCGTAAAAAAAGGGGGCTTCACCAAAGAATTCATGGAATATCAATAATAACAGGAGAATATCAGAGATAATATGGAAGAGTCATCTACAAGTGTGATATGTATGTGTATAAATAAATATATATATATATATAAATACATACATATGTGATTTGATACATATATGCGATTTGATTGGGCCTATAATTCCATGGTTACAACATCAACCATAATGGTATTGATGGGATACAGTGGGGTTATAGTGGGATCATAGACGTTCATTGGGGGATTAAGAATGATCAGCCATTGGCATGGGACAGACGGGTAGTTATTGGGATATTAATGGGATGTTCATAGTATATTAATACTAATCCTGTATATATGATTTCCTTGGATTTCCTCACCAATATTCCTAGTCGATTTCCCGGTCATGGTGTCAAACAATGGGAAAATGCAAAAATCCCCGGCTCGGCAAATCCAAGTTGTAGGCTGCCCTATGTTTTCCGGTGATTTTTGCATATTTTCCCATTGCTTGACACCATGACCGGGAAATCGATTGGGAATATTAGTCAGGAAATCCAAGGAAATCAAGCGGTTTACCATCATATTCCCTCCTCGCATGTCCATTCTGCTGCATACTCCAGCTTTGAATCCAGTCTAACAGCAAGTCCAAATACCAAGATATCATCTCGGACATCGGGTGTTGGATTTTGGTGTTAGTTTTGCAGGGATGTGCACTCAACCATTTACAAAAAATATCAACACATGATGTTGGTGGTATTGCCAAATTTCATTGATGACACAGCGTTTGTGGCACAAACCTAGGACCCTAGGATGCTTGTGGATGCTACGTCATGGTGGCAAGATTCAGAGAGTGGAAAAAAACCACTTTGCGAAGATTGCAGCTATGGTGAGCTGGATCTTGGCAGAGGAGCCTATCAACTGAGTGGGATACTAACCAGGTAGGCATTGATCAATCCCCCAAAGCGAGCCGATGCCAGGCTGATGCGCTGCGCAGTTTGAACCGAGAACACGCTGAACTCTGCGAAGAAGCAGAAGCCCGTGGCCGTGAAGAAGAGCAGCAGGTGGGCTGTACGGAGTCGGCCAGGGGGGGATGTGAAACACCCACAAAAAGTTGGGTGTCAACGAACAAAGCAAAAAGACTTGCTTGTTAATAGCTGACCCATGCTAACCTAGTTTTGTTTGTAGTTGGCTTTCAACTATTGGTGTTGATTTGTTGATAATGTACCATAATACACACAGAAAGAGTGGCACTGCATGCAAACGTTTAGGGTTAATATGGGTTAACCATACCAACCTGAGCCGACCCACTCGTGATCTGAGATTGCCAGGAAAATCATGAAACTGCGGGTCGGCCGTCATTGCTAGTAAGAAATGGCCAGAGTTGTAAGATGTTGTAAGCACAGTCGTAGTTCGCGCCAGTGAAATGATTGTTGGGTTCTTTTCCCCGCTAGGAAAGCAGTTGGTTTTGATCCATGGCCCTGACTTGTTGATTTTATCAAGTTGGCTTTGTTAAAAGCCCTCAACATGGGGAAGGGGATAAGATCTCCACCAGCCAGGATCAGAAATATCACTTGGATGCCCATGTTGACGAAATCTTGGGCCCTCAATGGATTCAGAACGGCGATGCCGGGACACCCATTTTATGTTAATTGAACCAGAAAGTGAAATCCTACCCAAAGTGAATGGATCCAATTCAAGGTGTCATCCCCTGGTTATGTTTGTTGGATTATAACCAAAACAACAACAATTGTAATTAATCACCAGAAACGCAACAGTTCCATTAGTCACCTGAAACAACTTAGCGATTCTGAACTCAAATCCCACTTTCTAAGTGGTCAATGGATTGTCAATGGTTAATAACATTTTTCGTAAGCCATATTATATAATTACTCTTTTATCTCCCGTATATTTCTACTTTTCCACACGTAGCACGCCCCCAGAAGATAGAACGTTATAAAAACCTACTTAAAAAACGATTACATATATAACATATAATTAAATAACAGATAGTATATATATATATCTTATATTTAGAAGATTATTTTTTGGCGGCAATACATATATATATATGTGTACGTACATACATATCTCTGGGCAAATGAAAGCCACCCCAGCCATGAACTCACGGTGATGTTCAGGAAGGATTGGGAAGTCATCCCCAAAAGATCTGCTTTGGGAAATATCGTAATTTTACCGTACCATATCTATAGTCTATATATACATATCTACATATATACAAACACATATCAACGCCAAAAAGAACGATTTTGAAATCGGATTTTACGAACTTTATCTTTGATTTCCATTGCTTCCTCATTACGGTTGGTTATGTCACAATATTTCTTGGCTAAATAATTTATGAAATACATCTAGACCCTCCAAGTACCTATAACTCTACAGTTAAAAGTGCTCAAATTACGGGGTAAACAGTTTTTTTGGGCACTCAGAAGTCTAAGTAAAGCCAATACATCACATCACCATCATATCTCCATCATATACAAATTATGCCCCATTATGTCACCATTTTCGTTGCTTCAATATTTGCTAAATACCTTAAGGCTACATATATATATATTTATGTATATGTATATGTATACATGTATAGTAGTATATTAGTCATCCTGGGGTAGATAGAATATGGACATTGCAAACAAATCCTCACTAAAATGAACATATTTTTAAACATTCCACATTACATCGGCTTCAGGGTGATTCTTGTTTCTATGAATGATGATTGTTGTTGTCATGAATCATTTGCCCATGATGATCATCATGTTCCCAATATATTATCGTATTCTGTCCAGTATTCATCATAATTGAATACACTTAATCATTAATCATTTAAACACATTAATCATCGTTCATTATTCATCAGCATTGTTCCATTATATTATGATATTCCAGTTATTATGAATAATTATTTTTGAGTATCTTTGAAAGTCTGTTATTCCATTACTATTTTTGATCATTCATGAAGATTATATATCTACATATATATCCTGGAGTGGATAGAATATGGAAAGTTCAACAAATCCTCACAAAAATGTGGCTATTTTTAAACATTCCATATTCCATCGACTTCAGGCTAATTATTGTTATTATGAATCATTATTATTGAAAAAGATGAATTATTTTCCCATGATTGCTCATCATTTCCCAATATATTTAGTATTTTGGCATTCTGTCCATTCCCATTAATCCCAACTAAATCCCAAGTTGTTCATGGACAAAATCTTTTTAATCATCATTAAAAAACCTGTCATTATTAACCTTTCAGAATCATCCGTATATTCATTCAGATATTATTTCCATTCTCATTGTCATTATGAAACATTATTCATGGAAATAGGTGACAATGATTATCATCATTATTCATGATTTTCATGAAACCTCATATTATTTGCATTGTTATTGTCAGTGTGAATCATGATTCACAATGGAAAACCCATGGATCTGGATATGTGATTCATAATTATGGGTGAAATACCCATTGTCAATATTGTTATTGTTATTTATTTCTATTATTATTTTCATGACTATTATCATTACTGCTAGTTATTGGTGATATATTTTAATATTAGTTATTATTAGTTAGATATATCCATTGTCACTATTGTTGTTGTGTTATGCTATTGCTAGTTTTTGGTGTTATTGTTATTGTTTTTTATTCCTAGTTATTGTTATTGGATATCCAAAACTGTAGGTGAAGGAACCCTCCCGGAGGCCCTTCAAGATCAGCAGCTCTTGGCGGGCTTTCGCGAGCGGCAACGGCTGGCGCTCGAGAAGGCCGAAGATGGCCGAAGGGGCGACGCATGGGTCACTTTTTCAATAGGGAAACCGACTGGAAAAGTAGATTAGCCTCCATATACCATTGGGTGGTTATCCATATTGTCTAATGGTTGTTAACTTATACTACAATGGTCTAATGGTCTAATTTATGGTTAGTAATTGTGGCTAATCATTGTTAATAATGGTTAATAATGGGATTAGCCTCTGGTAAACTAACAGTGTGCGAACTGGAACATCAGCATGTTTAATGGGTAAATCAGCTATGTGACCATGGGCCATTTTCATGGATGTGAATGGATGTTATACTGGATGTTAATTTTATTTTATAGGGGATCTATTAGGATTTAATGGTCTAACCGATGGTTTTTTAATGGTGATATGGCATCCCCAACCGACTGGATAGGTAGTGGAATCCTTTAGTTTTTTAGTATGGAACATGCGGATTAGAAAAGATTGACCATGATAATGGGATTTTCATGGGAGCAACATCGGGATTAATAGGATTTACGAGGGATTGGTGAGTGTCCTGATGGAACATCATCCAACTAAAAAGGGGATCTAATCTCCAACGGATACTTTAAAGGCGATGTTCAAAAACCACAAAATGGGACATTTACCAAACCCTGTTTTATGTGTGTTTTTTGTTTTTAATGTTTTTGCTTTGTGTGGATAGGACCATAGGATATTCACGGGATTTTCATGGGAAATGATTTGATATCCATGGATTAGTTATGGGAAAATGATGGTTGACAATGGCCAAGCACGGGTATGTCATCATGAAAATAGTTTCTTGTTCCAGGTCTAAGATTAAAATTAATACATAAGGGATGGATTCACCATTCATCCACATTTTTACATATTTACCCATAGTTTTTCCATATTTTGTCCACTAAAGCCTTGCTGAAAAATTTGCGGAAACCGCGACGCATGTCCTTGAAGATCTGTGCGGAGTGACGGATTTGGTGGTTTCCATAGATGGGGGATCCCCAATGGCTGGATGGTTTACATGGAACATCCCAGCCGCAAGAATGGATGATAGCTGGGGTAGCCCTACTTTAGGATCTTTAGGAAACCAACATTCATATAATGGATTAATGGATCTTTCCATTTTTTCTCTCCAGGAATCAACCGTGGCAAACTGGAAAATCATCAATGTTGGATTTTCCAGCAAGACATGTTTGATTGCCTTACAGGGGCTTGGATCATCCCAGAAAACAGCACCAGTTGAAAACGGTCGGCAAAATCCAATTATTTTTACAGGGTTTCAACCATCCTTTTGGTGGTGCAGGATTTTGCAACCATCCGCCGTATGTACAAATTTTAGTGAAATTTCATTTTTTGCAAAACCAACATGTGCTTCTCGTTGAGTCAAGAATATAAACACCCAATTCTTGTTGATTACAGTACATCTCTATTTCTGTCGAGCTGGATCTAGATTTCTGCTACGTTAAATCCAAGCTTATTTGTTGGTTGACTTGAGTCCTCCCCGAACAAAACTGAAATTTTCAGTCAAGTAAATCCAATTTGGTTTTTAAGTCCCATCCAAGTTTCAACAACGTTGGGTTTGCGACACATGGCGTTGTTGTTGGTTCAACAAACCAACGTTTTCCAACTGTTGCTTCCTTCGGTGCCCAGGTGAGACGTTCAAAAGCTCAAAGTTCCGTTTTGAGGCGTGTCCAAAGCCATGGGGATTCCGTCCCGGCCATTTTGATGTGGGATAGTGATGACCATTCTACAAAAGCCGGTTTGGCTTTCCGACTTCCAGGAAGTGCCGGAAGAATTTTTGGAGCCCGAGACCATTACATTGGTTCTCCTTTTTTCCCCGATGTTTTCTGGGTGAAATTGTCATCATCCCTGACTTTCACTCCATCATTTTTCAGAGGGGTAGGCCAGGCGAAAAACCACCAACCAGCTAACTAGTTAATGGATGTTTTCATGAGGTAAATTCACATATGGGATATAATATATGGGATATCATCCTTCCCATTGACTTTCACTCCATCATTTTTCAAGATGGTTATATAAGTCACCAACCAGGGATGGTTTTCCGCTAAATCTAAAGCAACGTTCAAGTACATAGTAGATTACAACCTAACTATTCTAACCCCATGATATAACATTACTCTCTGGTAAACTAACGTAGCTATAGAAAATCACCATTATTAATGGGTAAATCCACTATTTCTATGGCCATTTTCAATAGCTACGTTAAATTACCAGAGGGTACATAACATGGTTTTCATGGGCTAAATCTAAGCCAACGTTCACATCACTGGGCACTAAAAATGCTGCGCACTTTCCCCGATTTCAGGCAGCAGCTGGGCCTCACCGAGCCCAGTGTGGCGGAGCTGCAGGTCCAGCAGGTCCAGCAGGTCCAGCAGGTCCAGCAGGTCGGGGCGGTGGGAGCTTCGGGATTTCTATGGGATCTTATGTTTTTTTTTGGAGATTTCATGGGAAGTTTCCATGGGATCTCGACTTGGACTTGGGGGAATTTCATGGATCATAGCCATGCGATGTTAATGGATGTTAATGGATGTTAATGGGATTTCATGGAAGACTTATTGGGCTTTTCATGGGGATTTTCATGGGATTTAGTATACCCCAAGCCAAATCAACTGTGATTCAGCCCAGCTTTGGGATGATTTATCATCGACACATACATGGAAAAAGCAACTATGGGACCCCTGAAAACGATCGATACACAATGCTTTGCTGGTACACATGACATAGTTTCACTTCTCCAAGAGATGGATTGCTTTTTTTTTTTCAGTTGATGCTCGGAGATATTGAAGCTATGTATCTACATATAATTGTATACATATGGACATATTTGGACAGGCAAAGATGCATTATCCAGTCACATGATTAACCATTATTAACTATTATTGACCATTATGACAACCACTATTAATCATTATTAACCACCATTATTAACCACTATTAACCGGAAAATGATGTTGCAGCTAGTTGGTCACGTTAACCATAACTTGATGTTGAGACCCTGCAACTGGACCAGTGGTGAAGTCGCCGCGCCGGACCAGAAGTGGGAATTCCTTTAGTGGGGCGATCATGGTAAGAACTAAACAACTATAATAACTATAAAGTGGTTGATGATATGGGTTGTTAATGGTTGATAATGGCAATATGTGTTATTAGTTTATTTTAGGAACTAAACAGCTATAAGAACTATAAAGTGGCTGATCATGTGGGTTGTTAGTGGTTGACAATGGTAATATGTTTTTTGAGTTTATTGGAGTGCTAGCTAGAGTCTCCGTTTGTACCCATATACTATGGTACTTTTTTCCAGTTTTTTGGAGTATTTATTTTGAATGGTTCAATGGAATATCAATGGATATACAATGTTTTATAATTAACTGAATCTATATAACTGACTATAATTAATCCTTCCCCCAGAAACCATGGTGGAATTGACCAAACAATGGGGTGTTTGATATGAATGGGGGATTGGGTTATATCCTTAGGATTTGAGAAGAGAGGTACTAGAGTTTTTCACGCTTTGAACATTTGTTAAATCCCACACCGCAGACCACATAATACATTCCGAATGGGTATGGTTCATCACATATATCACCCATTACTATTCCATCTATCCATATACATGTATACATATATATATATACACGTATATCACCCTTTCCAGGCCAAAAAATGGTAAACCATTCGGATGGCTTCAGTACAAACCAATCTTTCGCAGGGATATATCTGGGTACACACTCACAGATAGCTATTACCATGCTTACTAATGGTTAAAGATGATAATGGTTAATAAGCGTTCAGCATGGTTAAACAATTTCCCCAAATATATGAATCGAACATCATCTCACCAGCTTTTGTTTTTTTGTTTTCATGGTATCTACCCTCTGGTAAACTAACATAACTATGGAAAATCACAATTTTCAATGGGACAATCCACTATTTCTATGGCCATTTTCAATATATAGCTATGTTAAATTACCAGAGGGTATTTCGTAGTTCATGATGGCTCCTAGATACCTGATATCTCCAGGTGCCTGTAGAGTCGGCGCCGGAGGCGGGGCGGTTGCGAAGATCCTCCATGATTTTAGATTCCGAGCTCGAGTTACCTCCGAAATGGTCAGTTTATGTCAGTTTATATTTAATAATGGTTAATAATGGTTAATAATGGTTAATAATGGTTAATAATGGTCAATTTTTATTTTTGGGTGTCCAATTACCAGGCTTGAGTACCGGAGGGTAAGCCTGTTTGTTTTTCCCCATGGCTTATAGCTATGAAAAATACATGGCCCGTTTATAACATTTAGGCTGATGTATGCAGTTTTTTCTTTTTCGAAATCTAGTCATAGCAACCCCTATCGAATATAAGCGGTTAATCAAATTTAAGACAGCATATATTCAGGGGCTGATGTAGGGGGATGCAAGTCTGGATGGATTCCGGGGGGGCTTCTTCGAAGCTGAAAAGATGAATTTTGCCACTTAGAAGCTCTTAGAAGCAGAAGGGTTCTAAGAAGTTAAACATACAATTTAAATCAAAAAGAAAACTTATCTTCTAAGAAGGCCTCTACTTCTAAGAGGCTGCTTCTAAGAAGCAAAACCCTTCTAAGAAGCCCATGCAGCTTCTAAGTGCTTCCGCGAAGCAAAAGACGCATCCATCCCGCGTTCTCACCAGAACTGCGTCCCCTTAGATTATATATATATATACCTTGGCTCTCACCTTCCACAGTCATGATCAGTACCCAACATTATTGTGCTGGTTGGTGGTTTCAAACATTTTTTATTTTCCATAATATATGGGAGTAATCATCCCGACGGACTTTCATATTTTTCAGAGGGGTAGGTCAACCACCAACCAGATATATATATATGTCACCAACAATACAATATTTGATTTGTCTTAAACTGAGGATACCCCAACTGATATCTCCAGGTGCCTGTAGAGTCGGCGCCGGAGGCGGGGCGGTTGCGAAGATCCTCCATGATTTTAGATTCCGAGCTCGAGTTACCTCCGAAATGGTCAGTTTATGTCAGTTTATATTTAATAATGGTTAATAATGGTTAATAATGGTTAATAATGGTTAATAATGGTTAATAATGGTTAATAATGGTTAATAATGGTCAATTTTTATTTTTGGGTGTCCAATTACCAGGCTTGAGTACCGGAGGGTAAGCCTGTTTGTTTTTCCCCATGGCTTATAGCTATGAAAAATACATGGCCCGTTTATAACATTTAGGCTGATGTATGCAGTTTTTTCTTTTTCGAAATCTAGTCATAGCAACCCCTATCGAATATAAGCGGTTAATCAAATTTAAGACAGCATATATTCAGGGGCTGATGTAGGGGGATGCAAGTCTGGATGGATTCCGGGGGGGCTTCTTCGAAGCTGAAAAGATGAATTTTGCCACTTAGAAGCTCTTAGAAGCAGAAGGGTTCTAAGAAGTTAAACATACAATTTAAATCAAAAAGAAAACTTATCTTCTAAGAAGGCCTCTACTTCTAAGAGGCTGCTTCTAAGAAGCAAAACCCTTCTAAGAAGCCCATGCAGCTTCTAAGTGCTTCCGCGAAGCAAAAGACGCATCCATCCCGCGTTCTCACCAGAACTGCGTCCCCTTAGATTGGGCCCTCATATATAGCTTATATCCTGTCTATTTCTGAGTTATCAAATGTGTAGCAATCCCCACAAAGAACGAAGTTCGTGTATATATATATATAGATCATCCGATTCCGAAATAGTTTTCCAAGTGCTAAATTGCATATCTTTTTGAGGTTTACAACATAAGTCATGAACATTTTTGAGACAGAAAAGTGACCCATCGACGTCACAGCATCCATCCGACGGGAACATTTTGGGATTTGCTGATCTGGTGGCTTTTTTTATTCCCAGTGGTTTTTGATCCACCATGATCTGAGGAATCTACTCGGAATATATATATTATATATAATATAATATATAAAATAATATAATATATATATTATATTTCCCCACCTGTCAGGTGAGGGTTCTTAGATTTTATGTCAGCTGGCCCGCCGCCTCCTCCGCCTCTTCCTCCGCCGGACCTCAACTGCAAGCGCTAGATGGCAGTATTCCACGCCGGACCCGAACAATGCTGTGAGTCTTGCAATGGGACTTGTGGCTGAGGGTTTGTACTAGAGCACGGAAGTCCTCCCCTTCCCTCCACTTCTCTCTTGTCCCCTTCTTATCCACTTCCCCAGCTGAAGAGAATGTCAGAGAGAATGCCAGATAGAATGTCAGAATAAGTGTCAGATAGAATGCCAGAATAGATGCCAGATAGAATGCCAGAATGGATGCCAGATGGAATGCCAGAATAGATGCCAGGTAGAATGCCAGAAAGAATGGCAGATAGAATGTCAGAACAGATGTCAGATAGAATGTTAGGTAAAATGTCAGAATATATGTCAAAATATATGTCAGAATAGTTGCCTTGAAATGCCATGGTAAAGTAACTATTTATTTTTACAAGACAAAGGAGGCTTGATGGGAGTTTTTATTCAACCGAAAACTGATACGGAACTTGGGTGGTTTACACCCAAGGTTTTGACACTTTTCGCGGGATGTTTAGCAGCGCTCTCTCCTACTTGGTGGCTCATCCCACTTAGTAAGTGGGTTATAACACCAGTTATAAGTGGATTAACCTTACTTATCCCATTTATAACTGGGGTTAAAACCCACTTGCGATTCGTGGGTAGTTCGCCACCAAGTAGTGATTCTTACCCTTCGGTAACCCATGGAGATTTTCCCATAGAAATGGAATTTTTTCAATGGGACGACCATCGATCAATGCAGCTCCAGTGATGGGCAACGCTTATGGTGAAGTCTCCTATGATTTATGGTAGCCTTATGGCCTTATGGTGCTTGTAAACCGTCTCAACAGACATTTAAATTTGATCACCAATATCAAAAAATGATTGATAAAAGTGAGGAGGTGCTATAAATCATTCCATAAGGGGTAGTTATCGATCACCATTTTTGTTGGTTACCTATCCTATGACCTATGAACCAAAATCATTTCCATTTTGTTCTATTCTATGGACGAAGTTTTGGTTAATATTGTATATATCAACATCCTGTGAACCAAAATCATATGTATCTAATTCCCAAATCATTTTTTCGTTTTCTTTTTTCATAGGATACTTGATGTGTATCATTTATAACATTTGTTGATGAGTATCCTTTTTTTCCTAGTATCCATATCCATATCCTAGGAACCATAGGATACTAAACCCTACTTAACCATATCCAGAATCACATGTTCCTCATTATTTTAATTCATAACTACGTATAACTTTGAAATATACTTGTAACATCTTATAACCATAATCTACAATGTATATCCCATAAGGTTTGGTTATAAATCGCCAAATTTGTCTTGAAGTCTCCGCCCTGAATCTCTTCATCTTGCAGGATCCACCTTCCGAAGGTTGTCTTGAAGCTGACGAGGAGGCGCTGTTTTTTTTAGAGGTATAAACAACAGGGTTTGGTACGGTTGATAATTGTGGTTAATCATTGTTAATAATGATTAATAATGGGATTACCCTCTGGTAAACATACAAAAAACTATGGAAAATCACAATGTTATAGCTGGGAAAATCCACTATCTCGACTGGGTCATTTTCAAGTTCGCGAACTGTAACAAATTACCAGAGGGTAAATGTTCCATTTTGGAGATTTTGAACATCACTTTCAAGTATTTGTTGGAGATTATATTCCCTTTTTAGTTGGGTGATGTTCAACTGGGCCATTTACCAACCCCTCAGAAACATTGGGAATATCATGGGAATACAGTGTGTTTCTGAGGAAAGAAATAATGGAGATGCAAAGAGATGTTTGACGGTTGATGCTTAATATATTCGACATCATTGGAATATAGCGGGAGAATCATGAGGTCTAATCCCCCGTTTATATTTTATATAGTTGCACTCCCATTGTATGGATCTAAATGTTTTAGGGAGTGTTTAATATGAATGGGAGAAGATCATTGTATGGTGTATGGATCTAAATATGTGTTTCTTGTTTCTAATAAACCATGTTTTAGGGAGTGTTTAATATGAATGGGAGAAGATCATTGTATGGTGTATGGATCTAAATATGTGTTTTTTGTTTCTAATAAACCATGTTTTAGGGAGTGTTTAATATGAATGGGAGAAGATATCACAACTGTAAAACATGTTGGCTTTAACATCCCAAAGTAGGGGCGCGACATTGTTTAATCATCTTGTATTTCAGCCATCAAAAATAGTGCTATTGATTGGGTAATATATAGGGGCTTATTGACCTACCTGGTTTATTGCGGGCTATGATCACCCATAATCAACAGGATACCCATGGCTTTGGTATAGTCACAAAATTGTCAGTTCCTGATGTGACAGCCCTGGTATGATCAGTGCCAGCTGTGCCAGCTGCAAGAAAATGCAGGACAGCGGTTACACGCGGGAGGAGTGGATGGATTTCTTTTCGGAGGACGCGGAACGTTTGCCGTGTTTGCAAAGGTCATATCATGGAAATCGAAGAAACATCATGAACCAGAAACAACCATAGGGTGTAGTAGAGAACCAGCAATTTTGAAACAACAAGAGGTTTACACCCATTAAGAACATCAATAGGGTGGATTTCACCGTGGATCCCCATGGATTTTGGGGAGACACAAATTGGACACGAAAGCCATACGGGGAAGACGTGTTGGTCACTGGATGTCATTTGGTAACATGGGTGGTAACTTTGGTTACTACTATTGAATCATTTCTAAATATGAATTTCTATTGGATGACCAAATGATCCAAATTTTCATTTCATTGGATGACCAAATAATTACTACTATTGAATAATTTCTATTGGATTTGATCATAGGTCCCATATGGTATTTCCTCTGAAAAAATGGCTGGGTGAAAAAGCGACATCGGGTTATACCGTGATGATGAAGTAGACATCCATAGCTTTCAAAAATCATTACTAGAATGCAAGTTTGTGTTTTTTGAATTCCATCTTCTATCTACTCCAGGATGACTTTATGCACATGTATATATATATACACAGTACATATCCAAGCTTTCGTTGGTTTTATACCCCCCCATTTTGCTTAGTGAAATTTCCTATGGCCATTGGGTTGGTCATCAAATGGGAAGACCTTGGGTGTGCCACTAGTTCGACGCCCTTCAAATCATCATCATCATCATCATCATCATCATCATCATCATCATCATCATCATCATCATCATCATCAATCATCATCATCATCAACAACAACTTCAACATCATCAGCATTCATCAACATTCATCACCCTTCATTCACAACCTGCCTCCTTGTTTTCTGGTTCAATTCTTCGCTGCCGAGGAGGGCTTGAGTGCGGATGAATTGGATGCCTTGGAAGTGGTCTTCGATCACCTGAACATTTCGGGGGATATCTTGGTGGTCTCTTGGATTGCTGCGTCACAAGGGGGTGTGAAGCTGAATCCGTGGAATAGGGACTCAATGTGGAGGTTTCCAGAGTCATGGGAGTACCCCCGGTTCTCATCCAAGTCATGGACGACCACAACTTACTAGTGAAGCATATTGAAACGCATGGTGACTTGGGGATCCCGCATGACTTAAGAAACAGCAATATGAAGTTGGAATATCTGAAAGTGGACCTCGAACTATCTTTGGGGACTACAAAAATTGCATAGGACCTTTTTTCTTTAGCTGCTTCCCTCACGCCACGGGTAGGAACTAAAGCTTTCAATCCAAACTTTGGGGATGTGGAACCAGACATGGACTTGTCGAGTTGTCGAGCAGGGTTACCCTCTGGTAAGCTAACATAACTATGGAAAATCACCATTTTTCATGGGAAAATCTACTATAAATGGTGATTTTAACCATAGTTCTGTTAGTCATTACTAGAGGGTAATTTTTTCACCACCAATTTGTCATTGAACCTTTTTGGGAACACGTTTTTTTTTTTCATTTTTCATTCGCGGCAACTTCAAATTTTTCACACCTTATGAACACCCCAGAACGGGTAGAAAAAATGCTGCAGCATGACCAATTCTGTCGTGAAGAGCTAGGTCCACTAGATAGTTTGTGTATCAACTTCTGTGATTCTGGATATCAACTTCTGGTTAATCTATGGTTAATAATGGTTAATAATTGGAATAACAATATAGTCTGGTTGGTGGTTTAGAACATTTCTTATTTTTCCATATATTGGGAATGTCATCATCCCAACTGACTAATATTTTTCAGAGGGGTTGACACCACCAACCGGTCAATTTTGATAATTACGGAAAATGCTGATCAGCCTCAGGATTTCGGGGCTGGATTTTCTTTTTATTTTTTCGAACACCCCAATTATCAGACGGGATGGTGAGTGAATCGGGATAAACATGTACAATCACATTCATGTATATGCATATATCCATACATGTCATATTGATGTACCTAAGATGTTTCGGAAAGACCAATGGTGGTTGAAGGATTATTGGGGCAGGGTAAACCGCAGTTGGTGATGCTCAATTTTAAACTGGTCTTTTTGCTTGAAGGTTACGTGACTTCCCATGCAACATATGGGCATGGCTCAAGTTACCTATTATTACCTATTATTACCATATTTAGGGGAATAACCATCCATTAACTAGCTATCTCAGGGTACCTAGGGTCACTTTTGGTTTTGACAAACATAACCATATGACTTCCCATGTAACACATGGGTTCCCGGATGTCCCATACCGCCTGAAGTTGGCCAACGCTCTGGACATACCCGGCCTGGTAAACATACCAAAAACTCTGGAACGATCCACCATTTGTAGCTGGGTAAATCCACTATTTCGACTGGGCCACTTAATCACCATTTTTCATGGGTAAATCCACTAAAAATCCACTATTTCTATGTTCTATGGCCACTTTCCGTGTCGCTTTTTGTATGTTGACCAGAGGACATAGCGACATAGCGAGCAGCAAATCATTTTTTTCTCTCATCCAGGCAGATCGATTTTGCTCATCGCTGGTGATTTCGCCTTTTGAATATCTGGTTGGTGGTGACTGGAACCAATTTTCCTGGTTAATCTATGGTTAATCTATGATTAATCTATGGTTAATCTATGGTTAATAATTCAATAATGGTTTTCATAATTGGAATAACAATAGTCTGGTTGGTGTGGAACCATGGAATTTTGAATGACTTCCCATTCGGTTGGGAATAGAAAAATCATCCCAACTGACGAACTCCATCATTTTTCAGAGGGGTAGGTATACCACCAACCAGATACTTTGGCATATCAAGTTCCATGTTTTTGCAGGGTAAATTCCATGTGCTGGGTAAATTCCATATCATATACATATGCACTGTGTATGTTGTTGTTTCCAATCTTTCGGCAAAAAAACATAGAGTCTAACTAGTACTTTTTCATCTTTTTGCGTAAAATGAGTTCATTCACATATTCACCAGCTAAAGTTCCGATATTTTTTAGTGACAGGAGAAAACATCAGATTCACCATGAGATCCCCATGAGGATCACTTAAAGGATGCCGTGACGGATCAGTCCATAGCTCTGACCTCGGAGATACGGCAGAGTTGCCTGGACTGATCTGGTGTTTTTTTTTGAGTATGACTTGCCCAAAAAGGCCAGTTGGTTGATGGGGTTAAAAAAACTCCTAACTAGTCGGTTATATAATATATATATTTATATATCATATCATGCAATAATAGCAATATTTTAAGGATATTGATCATGACATAATTCCATTTATAATTGTTAAGATTGTTAAGAGCCCAGTGTACCATTAAGATTGTTAAGATTGTTAAGTTTAGCCAGATATATCATTATAAATTATAGCTCATGATTTGTAAAGGTTATATATCATGAACTAATCCCACTTACAACTGGCAAACTAGGTCCAGAACTGCAGGTTAACATGGGTGAAACATGGATTATATTAATATGGTTAGTGTAAAATTCCCCAAAGTCTGGGTGATTTGTTTTACGGTGCCCAAAAATGGGATATGCGAACATCATCTTTGGAAAATTGGTGGTTTCAACAGGATTCTTTCACTGGTTTGAGACGGGATATGAAAGCTGCGATTTGAACAAGACTTAAACGGTGGGTCTATAGTAGAGTTTTTTGTGGACATAAGGATGGGATATAGTTGAAGATATAAGAACCAATATTTATATATATATATATATACATATACATACACATATATATATATATATAGATAGATACATACATAAATATCCCGCCGGCCCGATTACCGTCCGGGTGTTTTTATAAAAATGATCGTTTCGCCAAAGCGAAACCAGAATTTCTTCATCAAAAAAGCATGGTTTGGTTTCATGTCATTCAGCTTGGCATTTTTTGCTGCTCCGTGGTCTGGGTAGTTACAAGTTCTGCAGCGCTTTGACCGTGGGTTAGCATGCCCCACCCCAACCCACCGTTCATCGCGTAGCATCAACGTCATGTGCAAGTTCCAACGAAAGGTTCATCCCGTAGCATCAAAGTCATGTGCAAGTTCTAACGAAGGTTCATCGCGTAGCATCAACGTCATGTGCAAGTTCTAACGAAGGTTCATCCCGTAGCATCAATGTCATGTGCAAGTTCCAACGAAAGGTTCATCCCGTAGCATCAAAGTCATGTGCAAGTTCCAACGAACGTTAACGTGCCCCACCCCACCCCACCCCACCAACCCAGTTCCAACGAAGGTTCATCGCGTAGCATCAAAGTCATGTGCAAGGTCCAACGAAGGTTCATCGCGTAGCATCAAAGTCATGTGCAAGTTCTAACGAAGGTTCATCGCGTAGCATCAACGTCATGTGCAAGTTCTAACGAAGGTTCATCGCGCAGCATCAACGTCATGTGCAAGTTCTAACGAAGGTTCATCCCGTAGCATCAACGTCATGTGCAAGTTCCAACGAAAGGTTCATCCCGTAGCATCAATGTCATGTGCAAGTTCCAACGAAAGGTTCATCCCGTAGCATCAAAGTCATGTGCAAGTTCCAACGAACGTTAACATGCCCCACCCCACCCCACCCCACCCCATCAACTTCATGTGCAAGGTCACATGAACGGTAACAAGACGTGACTGGTCACGAGAAACACAAAAACGCTGCATTTCGCTGGACGGTAAACGGTCGTCAGCATAAATATACATACATATATATATGTATATTTACATGCATATATAAACATACATCATATATATATATACATATACATATACATATACCTATATATATATATATACATAAATAAACATACACATATACATACATATACCTATATATATATATACATACATATACCTATATATATACATACATACATAAATCAACATACATATATATATATACATATACATATACCTATATATATATATATACATATATAAACATACATACATATATATATATATATACATTATACCCTCAACTACTAAAGGGTCTGAAATGGTATACCGGGGGCTCTCCTGAGGGGGGGGTCTGGAATGGTATTTTTTTCATATTAGACCCCAACCCCCTGATGACCCTAGACCCCTCAACATAGGTAAATATCATCAATTTCATTACCATAATAGACCCCAAAACTGATGATTCCAGACCCGCCACCGTTTAGGTCTAATATGATCAATCTCATTTTTGACAATTTGAGGGGGTGGTTTCACCCTAGACCCCTTTTTGGGGTCTGGCATCATTCAACCCCCCCCAAAACTTCCTCCCACACGTGAGGTCTAAAATCTAAAACGTAAAAGGGGGGGAAAAAGATATCAGACCCTCCTACATTTTTCACGTAACTTGATGTACAGTTTTAATCGGTTTTAACGGGTTCCCTACATTTTTGATCGTTTTTGATTGTTTTTGTATGTTTTTGGATGTGGTTAAGATCTGTGTGATCTCAAAGTAGGCATTTTTGTTTGTGCATGATTTTTTTGACATGCGAATTTTGATGGTGAATGATGGTGAATGGATGCAGTGATCATGTTTTGCATTCCGCACATTTCGAAGTTGCCATTTGGCACAAACCTGTCCTGCTGCATTCGTCTGCAAACTCTGTTCCAATGCCGACTCAAAAGCCTGAAACTGCCCGCTGCTGTGAAACTTGTCCTGGTTTCATCTGATTTCTGAGTGGCTGCAAGTGATTCTTCGTTCATTTTTTGTTTTTTATTGTGTGTTTTTTGTGTGTCTCCCAGGAAAAATGCGGCGCTGTTGCGGGTCCATCGGAATGGGACGAAGAACTGGCGGCATGGAGGCTCTTCCACAATCTTGATCAATCTTGTGTAGGGAGGGGGGGGGGCAGGGCATTCACTAAAAGGCGGCATAGCAGACATCATCCCATCCTCTTCATCACTCTTGTGCGATCTTGTGCACAGGTCTTCCTGCCAGAGAAAATACGTCTCTCCGAGCACGGGCAAGGAACGTGCTTCTCCACATGTGGGATATACGTGCCTTGGTTTGATGTTTTTTTGGTTTTTTGATTTTGCTGACATTTATTTTTGCATTTTTTGCTGCATATCATTACAACATATTGCAACATTTCCCAAGGCCAGCTCATGGATTCGCTTGGGAGTGGCTGAGCGAAAAGCCCCGGCCGAAGGCCGTTTGGTGTTTGACTGCACATTTCAGATCCATATCGTTGCATCACATTGTAAACCATTGTAGCACGATGTAACAAGTATATACAAGTATCAAATTGTATTGGACTGACTTCAATATGGATTTCTCCGGCATGAACACCAGGGACGGCTATCTTTCAGAGAAAGGATGCTGAAGATGGTTGCAGATCAGCAGGCCCAGTTTTTCAATGCAGACATGTGCAGGTATTTGTGCTGAAATTTGTGCTGTAAAGTTTTTTGGATCAAACTTTGCATCATGAAACGCTCCCGTTTTGATTTTCCCAGTGGCTGAAATTTGCGCTGTAGATTTTTTTTGGATCAAACTTCGCATCATGAAACGCTCCCATTCTGATTTTCCCAGTGGTGATGGCTCGACCGTGGATGAGCAAGCACCCAGACGACGACGACAGTTGCCGAAGTGTTTGAAAGATCAACTCAAGGATGAACAGAACGATGATGAGAAGAAGAATCGAAGGCAGCATCCATGATCATCCATGATCATCCATGTGTGTGTGTGGAGTCTCAGCAGGTTGATAGTCCCAACAGAAATTGCCAGGGGTTGAGCTGTGGAATTCAATTTTTTTGTGTTTCATTTGGGGTCTGAAATGGTATTTTGCATTCTCAGCTGTTGAAAGAATGGTTTAACCGCCAAGTAAGACCAACCTAGACCCTCTGTTGTGAGCCTATACCTTGTTTGTGAGCTCTACATTTTTTCCCACATGTTTTGACATGATGTCCAATTGAATGGTGTGCTAATCTTGAAAAATATCCTTTTAGTTCATGTGTCTCAGCAAGTTGATAGTCCCAACAGAAACTGCTAGGGGTTGAGTTGTGGATTGAGTTTTTTTGTCTCATTTGGGGTCTGAAATGGTATTTTGCATTCTCAGCTGTTGAAAGAATGGTTTAACCGCCAAGTAAGACTAACCTAGACCCTCTGTTGTGAGCCTATACCTTGTTTGTGAGCTCTATATTGTGTTTTTCACATATTTTTAAATGATGGCTAATCTTGAAAAATATCCTTTTGGTACATGCTCGTTGCCTCAGCAGGTTGATAGTCCCAACAGAAATTGCCAGGGGTTGAGCTGTGGAATTCAGTTTTTTTTGGTTTCATTGGGGGTCTGAAATGGTATTTTGCATTCTCAGCTGTTGAAAGAATGGTTCAACCGCCAAGTAAGACCAACCAAGACCCTCTGTTGTGAGCCTATACCTTGTTTGTGAGCTCTATATTGTTTTTTCACATATTTTGACATGATGTCCAATATGATATGTTGAACTGTTTTGACTTGTTCTTCCATTGTTTTGACCATTTTGTGTTGATGGCTGCAGGCCGCTACCAGTCACCACCTTGGTTCTTCGAGCGCAGTGGATCTTACTGGATGGAAAGGATCTGATGTGGCAGGAAGTCTTGAGCAATGGCACATTCACGCTGAATCTTGGTTTTGATAGTCAGCTTTCAGTTTGGCAGACCTATTTTAGATTGAGGTCGATAGGTGCAGAGGTGCAGGGTCTGAGATGGTCTACTTTCTATGGATACACCTACCCTAGCTACATGGTAAGCAGACAACCATCTCTAATCCCTTTTGTTCTCTGCATTGAGGAAGCACTTCGATGAAATGAGTGCAGCCAATACTGAAGAAGAAAAAGAGCGTTTCAAGCACCAAATCATTCACCAGTTTGTTGAGTGTCTCTTTTGACTTTGCTCGATATAGCCCGCAGCGGTGGCGAAAAAATGTTGCCAATGATTTGCCAACTTGGATCAACTTGGGATCTTGAGATAAAGGGTTGGTGGTTTCAGTTTTCTTGCAGTGATGGTTGGAAAGCAGGCAAAGACGGTTTCAGAAGCAAATGCAACCAATGGAAATGGGACTGATCAGAAGAATGGCAGTGGCCTCATACTGTGATATGTTGTGCAGGTTGATATTTGTGCTCATGTAGTTGGATGTTTTCTAATTTAGCAATTGTGCAGTTGTGGCCACAAGAGACCCCTCTTTGTATGCCAAGGCACATGCGAATCGAAACCAAAGAGCTCAGAAGGCAACATATTGTGATATATTGTGTGTGTGTTCTCTATTTTGCATATTTTTGCATGAGGTGTTGCAAAGATTCGCACCATTGACCCACAGGGAAGTGTAATGGTTGGATGACTTCATCGCTTGATATCACATGAAAGAGCTGGCAGGTGACAGCAGGGATGAAAGTGCTTCCAGTTCTGCAAGCACTACAAGTGCTTCACTCAGAATGATGACGCTTGCGCAAAATCAATATAAATCAATTACAGCCAGTGTTTTGAGACTGTGAGTTCAAACAGAGACAGTGTTTTTGATTTGCACAGTCTCTGGCTCAAACGGAGACAGTCACACAGTTGCATCACAAGGGGCTGAAACATGCGAAGGCTGTGGCAAAGGGATCTGAAACAGCAGATCACACAGCGTCATCACTGTTTGAACAGCAGCAAACCAATTGAGCCCCCAAACACAACTGTCATTGGCCTTTGGGCGAACTGACTTGACCTTTCAATACATTTCAAGGAGACCTTGGGGGAACATGTGGTTTCGATGGAAGGCACTTTGTGTCAAAGAGTTGACAACTTTGTTTAATGCAAATTTCTTTGTATTATCTTGTAATGTAAGACTGAGGTTGTTGGGACAGGGTGGCACTGCATGCACAGGGGTCTAAAATGATGTACTTCCTTTTGGAACACTTTCCATTGCTACATCAGAAACCAGAAGACCATTTCAGACCCCCACTGCATGGAAAAATCAGATCCTCAGAGACATGTCGATGGCAGGACCCACGGATTCTGATTGCTGTCCATGGGAGTCTTTCCAAGGACATCCAAGGACTGGTATTATTGATGGCATTTTGGTTTGTTGCAGCGTGCTGCATGACACTGAATTTGGACATATTTGGACCAGAATCATTTTGAAACTTGATGCGAGTGGTACTGCATGCATCATGGGGTCTAAGATGATATGCTTCATTTTGAAACAGTTTCCCAGTACAACTCAAAAAGCAGAAGTCCAGTTCAGACCCCATTGTGTCACAAAATCATCTCCTCAGTGACATCCTGGGCAGGATGTATAGAAGATGCGACGATGCTGGAAGTTATTTGCACCTTTTCAAGGACCTGAAACTCTTGGTGGCAGTTGTGATCAAATCTTCAGTGTTCCGTTGTTTGAAACATTTTGAAACTTAATTTATGAACCTTTTCAAGTCCACTCCGTACACTTCCGGTCACTTAAAGTGATGCAGCGAATCTTTGAGCAGAAAGAAGAATATGTCACGTCAGCAGCAGCACATCAGTCACTACCAATTTCAACATAATGTTGATGGTTGATGATGATCTGAATATAAATCAAATATGGGTTGATGGAAAGTTCGAATTGGATTTTGATAAGGGTCCTCTCCCTGGTTGATGCATTTATCACACACAAGTGGGTCTAAGATGATATACTCCATGTGTCTTCATGTGGAAACATTTGCAATCAACACCTCAGAAAGCAGAAGACCAGTTCAGACCTTGATGATGCCTCAGAAAGCATATAGGATCATATAGGCGTGCTTTGCTGCCATGGCAAAAAGCAAGTCTTCTGGCCTTGCTTCCTTCATTCTTTTCCTCGCTGCGATTCTGCAACTTCTCAATGTATATGCAGCTGAGACAGATATTGACTCAAGTCGAAGTTTTGCGAAGCCTGTGATGAGCAGTGTGACAGCCGAATTCATCCAGTTTCTGAGGCAGCATGAACAGGTATTCCAAGCTGTGGAACAGATTGCTGCAGAAGATGAAGACGAAATGAACGCACAAGAAGAAGACACTCAACTCTCGCAGGGAGATGTCAGCGTTCTTCAATCTGGACAAGGATCAGCTCGAGTGTGTAAGATTTTTCGTCCCGATTCTATGAACGTGGGCATTGTCACATCAATAGTTCTTCACATCACTGCCGACATGGCACTCCATACTGTCAGGATGACTATATGTCAAACCTGGCCGGATTTGAGACCACCCACTGTGCAATGGTGTCTGCTTGCCATCCATGGGACAATCATGTCCTCGATTCACATCGAGAGCGGCATGGAAGCGTTTATGCTGCAGACAGGCATAGATTTGGGTCCGGGTCAGGTACCAGTGATGTATGAGTTTCAACGATGGAACCTACTAGAGACACGTTATCATAGCTACCTGGAGCCTCAGATCACCATACACGCACAGGCATTTCCTGGATGCACAGAGATGTTGCAGGACATCCATGCTATGCTGTACCTTGCCCAACTTCATGTAATGGATATTATTTACAATTTTTCGAGGATTATGAGATCGAACCTGCTTCCTACATCATCCACGTGGCCTTGCAATCAACAGATGCCATCACAACAGCCATTGGCCACTGGGTGGACCGTACGTCACAACTTCCAGAGTTTTTCCCTCGAGTTGCTGGGGTGGCAATGGCAGCAGGCTCAGACATTGACATTGAGAAAGTGAGAGCCAATGCGGCTCTACTACAACGGGATTTGACACAAACATACCAGCAACTTTTTGTGCACTTCGGAGGGCATCTGCTACAACAAGGCCGCATCCTGGCAATTGCCTCCGTAGATGGATCTGCTGAGAATCAAGTACATTCTGTCAGCATGACAGAATTCTTGCTTGGTGCCGGTGCCAGCAGAAGTAGGGAATTCCCTTTCGTTACAGAAGAGCTGGTCAATGCACAGATGATGGAGCACAGCTGGAGCAGTCACATAGTAGTACCGCATCGGGCCATTGCCACAATCAGTCTTCCAGAAACTCCCACTCCAATTGATCAAGTGGTGGTGATACAAGCAATTCAGGTACCTGCAACAGTTCCATTGGTCCTGGGACAACTCCTGCTGGACGGAGAATTGCATGGCTCTCAAACCTTCCGAGATTTTGATTGGGTGATTTTCTTCGCACAACCTGTTTGTAACCGGCGCCAAATGATTGATTACCTACATATGACAATCGACTGTCAGGGTGATGCGTGCCTTCTGAGTCTGAATGACCGAATAATGACCGAAATGGATGAAGACCATCAAGTTCCGGACGGGTCAGTGCTGCGGTTGTGGCATGATGAAGAACCACTCTCCAGTCATATTGGGCTTTCATCAGATCAAGGTGACTCATCCGAATCAGAAAGGCATCACTGTGAACCAAGCCAACCCTCACAATCAGGGGGAGGACTTCAATATGTTCCTGGAACAGTACTGCAAAGCTTCGTTCATGCATTATGTTTAATTCTCTACTTTGGGCAAGGAGATGCACAAGGAGATGAACGGACAAAGAAGCCCACAGGATCATCTACCTCGAAGCACAGAGTGCCCTGTGGATTTCGACATCACTTCCCTGTTCGGAGGAAGGCAAAAAAGAATCATGCACCAAAGTTGTGCTCCAATTTTTTTTAACATATGTTTCCGAGAAAGCCTCAAAGAAGGGCTGGATAATGAAGCACTCTGTCTCAAAGACATTCGGAGATGCCGAGAGAAGACAAGATGATATCAATGGCCAGCTTGGGACTGACATGAAAATCCATTATTGATGGCACTCCGAGACATGTTTTTTGAAGAGCAACAATGAGCAGCATAGTTTTCATTATAATTCAATTGCTACATCCAAAGAAATCATGAGATCCACTGCCATCCGCTTTGGACACTTGTTGAAAACATTTTTCGGTTTTGTCCAAAACTGCATGCACAAGCGCAGGGGTCTAGGATGATGTCATTTATCTCAAGAACTTTCCATAAACGCCCCAGAAAGCAGAAGACCATTTCAGACCCCTTTTGTGTTTTGGAATCATATCTTCAGCTCTCTTCAGAAAAAATCCATGGGGGGGTCTAGGGTCATGATCACTTTGTTACGGCTACGCTGGGAGCACAAGATTTCAGACCCTTGGATTTTGGGGTCTATTATGAAAAACCTACCGCCCCCCCCGGTAGTAGTTGAGGGTACTATACATATACATATACATATACATATACCTATATATACATACATATATAAACATACATATATATATATTATATACATATACATATACATATACATATACCTATATATATATATATACATACATATATAAACATATATATTTATATTTATACATACACAAATACATATACCTATATAATATACACATACATATATAAACATACATATATATATATACACATGCATATACCTATATATATATACATACACCTATATATATATATACATATATATATATATATACATACACATGTGTGTTTTGGGTGTGTCTGGGATTTAGTCCCAAATTGCCTCTGGCACTGAATGGGATATACCCTCTGGTAAACTAACAGTTTGCTATTGAAAATTGCCCAGTCGAAATAGTTGATTTACCCAGCTACAAAATGGTGATTTTCGATAGTTATGTAAACGTTTACCAGAGGGTAAAAGTTGGGAACTTTCAGCCAACTAGCAGGTGATTTTGATTGATGTTGATAAAAAAAGTGTTGGGTCTGCGGTCAAAATCAACTGAAGGTAGAAAATGGTAGAATAGAACCATTTGTATCAACCACATTTCTACATAAACCCAAACAATATCATAAGCAATCAGTAGCTATTTGATAGAACTATGTATCATTTAGCGTTTACCCAATAAATAGCAATAGATATTAATATGTATGTTTTTTTTTGATATCCCTATCTTTGGTGTGAAACACAGCAGACATATTGTAGAATTGGTGGGAAAACCAAGGTTTCACCCGCGATTGTTTCCCTACTCTTTAGTAAATTAACATACCATCTGCTTATTTAACATAGCCATGGAAAATCACCATTTTTAATAGCTAAACCATCTGTAAATGAGGCATTTTCCATGGCTATGTCAGTCATAACGAGAAGGTAAACTATGGAAGTCCCTCACCATCTGTGGATCATTTTCCAAGGCGGAAACCAAGGCGAAAAAAAACCATCCCTGTGTTGAAATCACATCTTTGGATACAAAAGAAATCATGAACTTGGCTTCAAATTTTCTAGTAAAAATGCCTTTGAAATCATGTTTTGATGGGTGAGGCCCCCTTTTTCGTTGGTTTATAAACCCCATGAACTAAGCTATCCTTCGGGGGCCTCTGCTTGAGGCTTGCTGGACTTCCTTCACGATGTTGCCTGAGCTTCGCTGAGGAAACCACGTCTCTATGATACGGAAAGTGACCGCTTATTAAACCTAGGAAACATGGGAAGACAAACAAAATGTATATAAATTACAATGTATAATATATATATATGTAGTAGTGACATGGGATGAATTGAGATTTCCATCGTCATATGGGAGTCTGGGCACAATCCTATCGTAGGGCCACAACTGGCGGTTCACTTCCAGGAAGGCAACACTACACTTTGCTGGTGTAAAGATTTTTCCCATACTTAATTCCCCCGAGAGGGGGGATCTACAGGGAATACCGGTGGTTCCTCTACGTTTTGGACCACGGCACAGATGATTTTGGAAACGGACGGAGCAATCGAGCTCTTTCGATATCGCCCAAGAAGGGGCAAGAAACAGAGCTGCGAAAGTTTTGGGGGCAAAGTACCCCACCACAAACATGTAGGTTTGTCATGGTTTGTCCATGTCTGTCCAAACATGTGAAACACCATTAAAAATCCCGAAATTGCCACAAGATATTTCAGAAAGCCATTCGGATTTTACATTCAAAAATCACAAAAATGGTGGGCAGGACACAGAAACCATCTGGTTGGTGGTTTGGAACATGAACATTTTTTATTTTTCTATATATTGGGAATAGTAATTAATCCCAACTGACGATCTTATATTTTTCAGATGGGTAGGTATACCACCAACCAGCCATAAATTTGCTGTCCCAAAGAGGTGTTGAAGAAAAACACCAGGACGACTGTACATAGCATTCGCGCCGGGCCTCGACCACTGTGACTATTTGTCAGAAGAACTGGGACGAGGATTCTCAGTGACTTGACTTCAGGGCGAAAAACCACCAACATTATATGGAAAAATTTTGGAGACTCATCATTTTCAATGGGAAAACTCACTGTAAATGGCAATTTTCAATAGTTTACCCTCTGGTTATGACTAACATAGATAACATAGCCATGGAAAATGGCCCATTTATAGATGGTTTAGCTATTAAAAATGGTGATTTTCCATGGCTATGTTAAATAACCAGATGGTATATATATATATATACACATTTTATTCTATACGTTGGGAAATAAACAAATATATATATATATATATTTTTTTTTAATGTTGGGATAAACAGTATATTTTGTGGTTCAAAATCCCAATTTTTGGGGGTTCAAGTTGGGTACTGGGGCACCAAACAGTTCGAGTACCAAGTGATTCTTCTTTTGGAACACCTTGGGAGAAACCCGGCGCAGAGCAACGCTTCCCGGTGCAGCGAATTGCGGCGACCTGGGCGGAAAACGTTTGGCGACCGGCGGCGGTGGCTGAGTATAGGCAAAGAACATGGTTGGTGGTTTGGACTATTTTTTTATTTTTCCAGATATTGGGAAGAATAATCCCAACTGACTAATATTTTTCAGAGGGGTTGAAACCACCAACCAGAGGAGAACGTAGGGGACTTGCAGAAGTAATGTGGTAAACCCAATGCCATAAACCATCCCTAATGTTACACACAGACCTCGATTTTTGCCCGAGCAACAAATACCAGTTGCAATAATGATCAGAAATGGTCTAAACGTGAAACAATACAACAACACTATTGGGATTTACATGAGGTTTGGGGATTAGGCTGGTTGGCCGTGGCGATGGTGATGACGATGATGACGACGATGATGATGATGACGATGATGACGATGATGATGATGATGAGGATGAGGATGAACATAGCTGTGGAAATAGCTTAATGAATTACCTATTTCTTATGAGCTATTATCTCGTGAATCAGTGGGCCATTTTCCATTGCTCAAATCCCTGTTGGTCGATGATTATAAGGGATTTAATAGGGAGTTTAACTATCCGAATATGGGGATATAAGTGGATGTAACTTATAAATGATGACTGGTTGATGATTTAGTTCGGGGATTATACTAAGCAATCTACAGTATTGGGGACTATCGCAATCCATGGGCATCCCGTTCTAAACGCGGGTTTTTGAACACTGCTCACATAATCGTTGTGAATTTTGCTCACCTGATCAAGATATACAAGTGCCAATAGACGAATATACAATCGTCAATGGCGCATATCCACGAGTATGATTGGCCCTTCTCAAATTAAGCAACAAATTATATACCTTTGAATACCGCCCTGCACCGCCCCGGATTGAAACACGCTATGGCTATCTCTCTCTCACACACACACACGCCTTGAAAACAAGTCTGCAGACAACGCCAGCTTAGGTTTCAATAGCTGAAGTCATTACCCTCTGGTAAACTATAGAACACATCTGTGGAAAATCAAGATTTTAGTCGATAAGCCAACTGTAAATGGCAATTTTCAATATCCATGTGAAATTACCAGAGGGTATTGGTTATTGATCCACAATTCCCAGCTAGTTTCGTAGGTCCAAAGGGGTACCCCGAAATTAGTGTCGTTTGGTGACCCATATCTAGACCCTCCGTTTGTAGCTCGAAAAGTAGGGACAAAGATGGTAAAAGTACCCTTTAATTGTGGGCTAAATGACCAATTTTCATCGGTATAATATGTATAATCATAGGTAAAAGATGGTAAAAGTACAAAACTGATAGGGTAAATTACTACAATTGTTGGTTCTTCAACACAATTTAGGCCCTCTACCTTTCCTCGTGAGAACTTCAACCAATCCTCATTCGCTCAGGTTGATCTTCTACCCCAACGGGAACAAAGACGCGAGCGGCTCGAAAACTGATTAGTTTGGGGATTTACTTAGGGAGTTTGACTCTCCAAACATGGGGATGTAAGTGAATTCAACTTGATATAACATGATACCACTGATTAATGATGGTTGGTTGATGTTTTTTTTGGCTTATACAAATTATACTAGCCTTTAGATGATTTTTTTGGATTCCCGCAGTCCATGAACTGGGATTTAAGGAAAACACTGGCAGTGGACCCGGCTGGGTGACCCAGATTCCGTTCCTGTTTTAAAGATAGGAAGTACTGGAAAAAAGTGAACTTTTATTTGGGTGTTTCCAATCTTAAACTTGTATTTGGTGCTTTCAATGTTTAATATTCCTTAATTCACTTTTGATCAATTCATGGTTTCATTTCTGATTTTGTTAGCTGGCGTTCATCAGTTTTCCAGGGTTTTCCCAGTTCCTGTTTCCGTGGGTTCCTATCGGTATTAGCTATTATTAGCTATTATTAGCTGGTGTGTCCCATTTTGACATATATTTCCATTTCCTATTTCTATTTATACTTAGATGTGCTAGTCAGTAAGTGGCTTCTCAGCCACAACTCATATAACGTAAGCCATTCAAACAATTGATTACAGTGTAAAACTGGCGATATCGCATATCATAAACCATCACAACAATATGAAATATGGTTATCCATAATAACTGATATAACTAATGATAACTTTAATAAGAACCATATCATAAATGTTATATAGCTAATTTCATATGTTTTTTTCCCCCGACGTGCCATGCCCGGCACCCCCGGTGTCGCGAACCGTCGCACCCGGGAGGCGATGGTTTTTGCTCCATTTCCTTGCGAATTCCCGAGGGTGCACAGCTATCGAGAGCAACTTGGCCGGCCTTCTAAATTGGAGGTACCTACCATATATAAGGCCTATGTAAGGCCTATGTGAGGGAATATACCCACAAAAAATGGCCTTATATGGTACAGTACCTCCAATTCAGGATCCTGGAATTACCATTGATCCAAGAAAACAATAACCAAACGCTACCCTAAATCAGAGCTGGTGATGATTATTACTTGAGTCATCTGGTGATAGGTTTCGGCCCCCATTTGTCTATAGCAACCCCTCTGGCTCGGCCGAAAGTCTGAATTTTCTGGAAATGTTTGAACCAGGATAATCTATAATTAATCAACTTATCCTATAGAGAAACTTGATGAAACTTGTCTATGTTTTTTGGGATTCCGAAACAATCATGACAAGTCATAAGATTTACCCCATAATTTGGGTGAAGTCTAAGACGTGGGCGGAAGATGATACCCGCGGCTCAAGACGGCCTTGGAGATTTACCCCGTAAAAGATTGGTATATCGAAGCATCTTTTAATGCTGGAATTGGAAGGCGATCCTAGCCTCTGAGAAAGTGCGTTAATCTATGTTAATCTCAGTTAATCTTATATTTTAAACATTTTTTTCACCCCCAATACTTTGAGGACCCCAATTCATGAATAGCTCCTTAAGATACCACAACAGCTTTTCGCAGCGGAGATTTCATGAAGCAATCAACAAACATATCCATCACTATCCCCTCCGTTGATGTTTTTTTGAGACACCATCATCACTATCATGTGTCCAAATTAAGATAGGTTAACCGCTTAGTGGTTTCTTGGTTTCAAATATTTTTCATTTTTAATCAATACACACACACATATATATATATATACATAACGGGGCTCGCAGATTTCCAGACATAAGCCCTTCCCCCCAATCCCCTAATATTTTTCATACCCCCAATATGGGTTTGCTTCAATTCATGAATAGATTCAAAAAAAACGTTCCACTACAATCCAATGGGATTATTTAGATAGCTGTGATACTTGGTGGCTCATCCCACTTAGTAAGTGGGTTATAACACCAGTTATAAATGGGATAAGTAGGGTTAAATCCACTTATAACTGGGGTGAACTAACCCACTTACTAAGTGGGATGAGCCACCAAGTATCTAGAATTTGAGGTCTGATGAAAAATTCATGGAACGCCACGAGAGAGGTCCTATACATCAATCATGATGCCTTCGGCCCCAACATCGTGAAGCAGGCGCTGTTCGGCCCAAAGAGATCCGGGATTGGGAGTTGACCAATCTTGACGACTTAGATTCAGAATGATCCTTGGATTCATTCAGAAACTGATGCTTGGGATACCCTCTGGTAAACTAACAGTTTACTATTGAAAATGGTCATTTATTGTGGATTTACCCATTAAAAGTGGTGATTTTCCATAGTTATGTTAGTTTACCAGAGGGTATCTTGGAATCACTTTCAAGAATTGTGAATCAAATCTGGCAATGGACCCTGAAACAGGTTGATTTCCTACTAAAGCCTTTTAGAATCCCTGCTCCTTGATCAAAGTCAGAATCCTTCCAGGTTTCCCCCAAAAAATTAGAAAAAAAACATACAAACTGAACACATGGTGATGCAGATTCCTCAATTTTGGATGGGAAGACCCATTCGATTTCCATTCTTACAGTATATTCTTAACTTCCAATAGTTTGCAAATGGCACGGAAAGATTGAGCGGCCCATCCCCCGTTCGAAATATCACCAGTTTGTCCAGGATAAAATATCTGCAGTGCCCAAGTTGATACCCGGTAGTCACCATAGGAACAATTAAGCAACCCCTGAAGTGGAGACCCCTGTAAAGCAACGAGTATATTGGATAATATCAACAAATATCAACAAAAAGGCTATTGCTATCTTTTTGAAATATATGGTACAAAAAGTGGCCCACCCCAGTGAGGTTGGGTTACAACCCCACAACTGAACTAATTGCCCCCACTTACCCTACTTCTAACCGGGGTTACAACCCACTTCAGCAAAACGAGGCGGTCGAGGGCTACACCAATGCGTGCCGCGTCGCAGGGCCGCAAGGATCAGGGCCGCTGTTCACAGCAAGTGAGCAAGTGAGCCATAGATAGCCCAGTTGGTTATTGTAGGGAGCTATACCACCTGGTGGAGAGTACGTGGATTAATATGGACCCTGATGAAAATCGGGAAACTGAATTCTGGGTCGGTGATAAGTCGGAGAGTTGGGCAGCCTATTTTCACCTTTAAATTCCTTGGCTTTCCATGTATCTTTGTAGAGTAGACTTCTCAAAACTTAATGCCAACTGTTTAGTTTTGAAACGTTGCACACCGACATTTTGTGAAAATTGCAGTGTGTATTTCCGCGTGTTGATTGGCCAAATTGGAACTGTTGACAAAATCATTTGGTTGGTGGTTTGAAATGGTTTGATTTTCCATCAAACGGGATGATGATCCCTCGAAATTCAAGGTAACATCCCCATATTCCCAGGAGATTTTGGTATTTCACGCCTCTTGGAAACGAGGTCATCAAGCCCTCGTCTGCGCTGCGTGGCACGGCGGCGGATATCCTGGTACTGGGCGTGCCGCTTGGTGAAGGTTTTAACATGTTTCAACTCAATGATACGTTCTCTATATAATATATTTATATATATATATATTTACCATTAGTCAATTATAATGTGGCAAAGCCAACAAAAATCATCGTTTTACAATGTTTTACCAAATTATAATTTTACCATCCCCCACAGTTGTGGCCCTTAGTAGCTATAAATGGGATTATATCTTCTGAAACTAAGGTTAATTACATATATATGTTATATATATATATACATCAGTTTAAACCAGTTATAATTGGCTATAGGGCGATAAGTGTATGGAGCCAGCCGTACCTTTGATTCGGAAGTCCAGGCTTTCAGTCATACCTTCTAAGGCAATTTTCTTTCCGGAAGTGTGATCCATAGGGATCAATTCAATGAAACATGTGGCAAATCGCCATAAACCATCCCATAAAAACCATCCATGACTGGGGGTCATTTTACATCCCAAATAGATCCAAATACCCAAAAAAAACCTGTCTTGAACCATGGTTTATTAATGTGTATTCATTACTTTTTTTTTCCTCATTATTCATGGGATTTTGCCATCGAGATTTTGAGTGGGAGAGCCAGCAACCACCTCAGCACATCGTGACGTCAGGGGAATGATAAAGGGAATATTGTACCAATTGGTGATAAAGGGAAACCATTGGTTAAAAATGTTCTCCTAATTCTTGAGAAATATCTATCCCTATGGATCCAAACATTCCGAATCTACTGGAAAAGTATCTTAACATTTTAAAATTGTGCCCCAAAGACTTCCGAATAGAAGGTACGGCTGGATCCATAGAGATTCAACCTTTTCTGTGGTTTTTATGAGATGTTTTTATATGAGATGTTTTAAGTTTTGCCCATCACAATGGAGATGAACTCACACATATTGGCAGGGTCACCCAGATGAACTATCCATTTTGAAGAGATGATGATCATCAACTATGGATAGTTCAACTAGCTGACAATATGATGACAATATATGATGACAATATAATACAATATATGATCATATTTGGTTGAGATGATGATCATATTGTCCAAGTAGGACGATGTGGCTGGGACGCACAGGCTTTGTTTTTTTTTTTTGGCTCGTTTCACTGAAAATTATTCAGCCATAGAAATGGTTCCAAAAATTGTCCTTCACCATGCAATGAAAGCTTGCTTTTGGGGATTTGAGGCTGAACTAGTTGTAAATTTCTTGGTGATCACCTCCAAGGAAGCCATGTTCCATTTAGTTCGATGATTTACAGTTTAAAATTTAATGTGATTTGCAGCGGAAACAGTAAGAAATAACATGAGATCACCAGAGGCATCCAGAGGCTCGAAATCATATTCGGTCCCTATCCCCATGACATTTTGAACTCGGAGATAACCAGTTTCAAATTTCTTGGTGATGAAAATCGATTGTGACATCCCCAACCTTGGATAGCTTGAAACTAATCCTTTAATGTTTTCCTATATGTAAATGGAAAATAACCATAACCAGCAAAAGATTGACTCGTATTATATATATATATATATTATATGATATTTCTTTTTAGTATATACCAAGTATATTATAACCAAAAACCAGCAATATATATTGGTTTGGAACATGTTTTTTCCCATTTCATATGTGGAATGTCATCCTTCCCATTGACGAACTCATATTTTTCAAGATTGTTTTTTAACCACCAACCAGCCATAGTATTTGACCTTTGGTCACTTGCCTAGGAAAGAGATCTACCAATACGGTTGGGCTTCTGATCCCATGTTGGAGCGTCTTGTCATCGGCGTTTTACGTTACGTTTCGGCGTGTTTTCGGTGGAGGTACAGGATGGGGCCCCCCAGTGATGTGAATGTTGGTTTATCTGTTTCCCTCTGGCAAACCTCTACATAACTATGGACAATCACCATTTTTGATGGGTAAATCAACTATTTCTATGGCCATTTTCAATAGCTATGTTAGTTTACCAGAGGGTACCCCATGAATACTAGTTCGTTATCTATATATATATAGTTACATCTACCATAAACCATTATCGTCAGACAGTGACTCTAGTGGGAAATAGATCTTCTAAATCCATCTGAATCCCAAAAAAGGCCACTCGGTGGGGATTTGTTTCTCTATTACCCACAAACATAGATGTGGAAAATCAGCCTTTTAATAGATGATTTAATCCATAAATGGGCGCTGTCAATTTGTCCTAGGGTATTTTTGAAATTAATGGTTGGTGGTTTGGAGCATTTTTCATTTTTCCATATATTGGGAATGTCATCATGCCAACTGATAAACTCATATTTTTCAGAGGGGTAGGTATATCACCAACCAGAATCTTTTATGATGCGTGAGTTTCATTCCAGAACGATCAACACTTTGAATTTGAGATGAACGTCCAAGTGCCAGTGTGGTCTCTACCCAAACATGATTGGATTGGAATTTCCCACCTTTGATAGGACAGATATCTTTAAATTCATGGCTATATATACATATACATAATCCATGTGGGTATATATTATACAATAGACATAGACATTATATATGCATCATATTATATGTGCATTGTAGTTGGCCTATGGCTCAACCCACTGGCAGCTCCAAGTCTCAACTCCAAGATCCGCTCGGCTCTTTTCGGATCGTTCGGCACACAGAAGTCTAAGGTCCCCTCTAAGGAGCAGGTTGCGATTGCAGTGGCCTCTGGTGGCCCTTCCAAGTTTTAAAGCCCCTGGCTTAGGCAGACGTCCACGTCTGAAACAAGTAGCTATGGCAGCAAGGACACACTGAATCCCTCCCTATCCCGCACCTAAGATTGGCTGACCCTGAGCCGGTGTGCTAACGTCCATGGACATGTTTGTTGGAGTTGGTGGTGGACATCTGGAACATGCGGAGGGATGCAAAACGGATGGATCTCATTCACACTGCAATGATGTGGATTTACACTCCCAAAAATCCAACATTTATTGCCAACATGCATTCATCATTGCAGCCTTCATGAGGCTTCTCCAGCTTGCACGACTCCTTCAACCACTTGATTCGGTTTCGGGATGACGCACGGTTTTTGAGAACTTCCAGTTCATCATGCAGTTTGTAGGCCCCAAGTCTAAGAGTCTCCCTGAGAAAGGAATTCTCCATTATCTTGGTTAAACTATCTGCAAGTTGGGCACCGGAATGAACCCATCGTAGATTTACCCCTTCTGCTAAGAAATCCTTTATGGATCTGGCATTAAGTTGGGTACGATACTCAGCACAATTAGGGACTGCAGTCCTGGTGACTAGATCATAAAGACTCTTACAGTCAGTAGCTGCGATGCTTTCGGGTAGGTTTTGGGATTTATATGTGGCAGTGGAATATGTTTCCGGCAGCTTTTCAAGTGCCTGGCTAGGTTTCTTCCACTCAACATTGGAATCCAGCATCCATCCCCAACACAAACGGAGCCATGATAAATGATCTAAAACGGAACTCAGGGAAACAGTCTCAGCAGCTAAGGTGCTTGTCACCACACGTTGAATCTTTTTGCAGCCCCACGCTAGTGGGCTAACGGGGCATGAGACATTTTCAGAAATCAAACGGTGGGTCCCCATGATTATACTACCAGTGTGTGAGTTAGGATTTCCCTTGGACGCAAATGAGGCATCAGAAAATGCCAGAAATCTGAAGTCTTTAGTAGGAATGGCTTGTATTTGAATAGTTGTATCACTGTGCTTTTTGGCTTCATGAAGTGTCTGATTTGCAAGTATGAGTGTACTGATGGTGGCATGGTTAATGGCTGATTGAAGTTGGCTAAGGCGACTCGAAAGATCTGGCCGGGTGTGAACTGCAGCGTATTGCAGGCTTCCTACAAGTGCTCGCAGCATCTGTCGCTCTTCTTCGGTGACCTTTGTGTCAACATTGGTTTTTCGATCGGCAGTTATTCGAATGGGGTTAATTGCATTGACATATTTAGTTTGTTTCATGGTGATATTTCCATTGGGAAGTTGGTCCATTTCTATTCCAGTGAAAGTAAATTGTTTGATCTTTTTACTGCCGAAGGGATACTTCACTTCAAGCTGACGAATTTTCTCATCGAAAAATGAGCTTCCTCCACAGATGCCGTCATCGACATGTAGGCCCAGGATACCTTCTAGGTTTCCTGACTTCGGGTGACGCAAAATGAACTGGCATGGGTCGAAAGGACTTTGGTTGAATCCTAACCGAATGAGTTCTTCGGAAATGGCTGAATACCAAAGAAACGGTGCATCTACCAATCCATATGCCCCTTTTTCGAGTTTACATACTTCGTTCGTTTTGAGTTGTAGTGCTTGAATGAGTTCATTCACGGGTTCGATGGCCAGTACTCGATCTTTTTGGAGTTTGCCTTGCAAGAAGGCTGCCTTTATATCAAAAGACTGTAACTGCCATCCCATTGAAGCTATTAACTGTAGCAACAACATTTTTGCATTTCGGCCTAGTGTGGGTGAATCCCTGGGCAATTCCTCTAATTTTGGATCCAAATATCCCAAGATAACTAACCTCGCCTTGGCTTTGACCTTGTTGGGAAGTGCAGTCGTAGACTGTTTGTCATCATCAACTGGTTTCCAGGTTAGGATCCATCTGCATCGGAGAATTTGCTCATGGGGTACTTTTTCCCGGAGGATTCTAGATACTGTTCCAGTTTTAAGCCAATTTTGGACCTCAGTTTCTTTTGCCTTTTGGAATTGTTCTTTCTCTTGCGCATTGAGTGTTGACATTTTTACTTCTGATCTCTGCCTTTTGGCGGCGGATACAACAAATGCCATTTCGGTCGGGTCAGTTTCTTCCTGCCACGTACGGATGTCATCTGCTGTGACCAGTACTTCGCACCTCCACGCAAGATCTTCTTCTTCGGCAACAAAACACAGTTCTGAGTCCATGTCGACACAGTGTAGGCCCTCGCAAATGAGTTCATCATCAGCATTGTCATCTGGTATGGGTGTGTTGACTGCTGGGTCATCTTCAGTGATCCCCTCCCGATTGCTTGAAACTGGTATGTGATGATGTTCTTGTTGGATCTCTTGTGTTGGTGTTGATGGTTGTGAATTGGTGGATGGAATCTCAGGTTCCACATCGGGTTGACCTTCGGAGGGGTTGGCACTTGGTGGTGATATCGGGTTTATTTGAGGATTATGAACATTTGGGATGATGGGTATTTCAGTTGGTAGTGGTATAGCTCGGGTGATTCCTTGGGTATTCATCTGAGGGATTTGTTGTGCGATGATTGATACTGAGGGTTCATTGTGAGTGATTGGTATGTTTTTCGCCTCCATGGCGGAGACTGGTCTCACATGTTCTGGTGCACACCTGAACAAGTTGCTTGCTTGTGTGGTCCATATGGTTTGGGAATTTTCGTGGACAACTATTTTCATTGGACCTGCCCAAAATCCTTCTTGAGCACCTCTACCCTGGCGCCAGCACATGACCCATTCGCCGGGAGCATATTTTTGCCCACCTGGACGGGATCTGCGAAGCATAGCACGCCTTAGGGCTGCATCGTTGTCAGCGGTGACAAAAGCTTTTCGTGCAGCTTCACGATAGGCCAGCTGACGGCGGAAAGCTACCCCGTGGGCCGTCTCTGAGTCTGCTAACAAGTGGGCTGGAAGCATCTCGTCACTACATACGGCTCCGGGAAGCCGGGTGTGTTTTCCAAGAACCAAAACCTCTGGTGCGTATCCCCGTTTTAAACTGCTTGAGTTCTTTGCTTGGGTACACCAAAAGATAGCCTGTGAAAGTTCTTGATATTGGGTTATGGGATGTTCCAGGTCATATTTTGATAGCATGGTCTTGAGAATGGCTCCATGGCGCTCTGCTTTTCCATTTTGATAGTGAGCTTCTGGGCTTATGGGGGTCAGCTTAATGTTATGGCTTTGGGTAAAGATACTGAATTCTTCTGAATTAAATTCCGTACCCGCATCTACTAACATCTCGCTGGGATTTCCCGCCCATGATAACCACATGTCAATAATGGTATTGATGGCAGCTGGGGTTGATTTGTCGGGTGCTATTCTGGCAACTTGGAAATTGGTGGCCCAATCCACAATGTGGTACATGTGGAAGGTTTTTCCCTGACTGTTTGTCCAATTACACCCATCAATGCAGATTCTGTCATTGAAATCAAGGTCATCCTTCAGGGCCCCAGGTCGGGACAGCTTTGGCAAGGTTTTGGCCTGGCATACTGAGCATCGCAGTTCCAACGCTGCTTGGGACACTTCAGGCCTATATCCTTGTGAGCGGAGGATAGTACTGAGGCGTTCTGGGCTGGGATGTCCTAGATTCTTATGAGCACGAATGAGTGCAATTTGTTCATCTCTGGGCAAAGCCTTGAAACGTGACCCTTGGGACTGCTCCAGGCTATCAGCTTGCTGGGAACTGGTGAGACCCGTAGACATGGCCGGTCCATCTTCGGTGGTGGATTGTCCCTGGTTAGCTGCTTCAAGCTGACCTGGGGATTGCACAATTTCTGAATTCTTAGGCTGTTCCGAGCAGACTTCTCGGGTTTCTGCAGAGACCTCTTGATCGGTTGAAGGTCTCACTGCTTCGGGGACAGTGCTCCTGGATTCCGGGGTGTTCTGCGCAAACACCGTGATGTTGATTCGAGTGGCATGAGATGGTCTTATTAAATTCCTCTTGGCAAGTTGTTCCCAGTTTTCCCATTCTTCTTCTGCTCTGAGTTCACCTGTTCCCCTTTCAGAAAAGATACTTCGTCGAAAAGGCGCCAAGCCCTTGACCAAATTGGTTGGTGGAGCTAGAGTTCTACTGGCACCC